CTGATGATTATGTCCTTTGATGTAGATAAGTTTTTAATTTTTATATAGTTCAATTTATCTATTTTTCTTTTATTGTGCTTTTGATGTCACCTCCAAGAAATAATGTCATTTCAATGTCATGAAGCTTTTCCTCTGTTTTATTTTTAAAGTTTTATAATTTAAGCTCTTGCATTGAGGTGTTTGCTCCCTTTTGAGTTAATCTTTGTGTATAATGTGAGGTAAGGCTCCAACCTCATCATTTTGTGTTTGATATCCAGGTTTTTCAGCACCATTTGTTGTAAAAACTAGTCACTCCACATTGGATGGTCTTGGCACCCTTGTTGAAATCATTTGACCATAAATGTGATGGTTCATTTTTTAGCTCTCAATTCTATCCTATTGGTCTATTTGTCTTTCTCTATGCCAGTGCCATATTATTTTAACTGCTGTAGCTTTATAGTAGATTTTTAAATCAGGAAGTCTGAGGTCTCCAACTTTATTCTTTTTCCAAGATGTTTTTGATTGTTTGGGATCCCTTGAGTTTCCATATGAATTTTAGAAAATATTTTTCTATTTCTGCAAAAAAGTCATTTTTGTGTTTTTTTATAGCTATTGCGTTGATTTTTTTCTTTTCTTTTTTTAATATATTTTATTGATTTTTTTTACAGAGAGGAAAGGAGAGAGATAGAGAGCTAGAAACGTCAATGAGAGAGAAACATTGACCAGCTGCCTCTTGCACACCCCCTACTGGGGATGTGCCCGCAACCAATGTACATGCCCTTGACCGGAATCGAACCTAGGACCTTTCAGTCCACAGACCGATGCTCTACCACTGAGCCAAACCAGCTTCGGCTATAGCAATTGCATTGAATCTGTAGATCACTTTGGTAGTACTGATATCTTGAGTCTTAGGGTTTTCCAGTCTATGAATACCATATGTCTTTCCATTTCTTTGTGTCTTCTTTCATTTATTTCAGCAGTGTCTTTTACTTTTCAGTGTATGCCTCGCACCTCCGGGGTCAAGTTTATTCCTAAGTATTTTATCCTTTTTGGTGCTATTGTAAATGAAATTACTTTCTTATTTCCTTTGGGATTGTTTGGAGTTACTGTCTAACAGGACATATGCTGAAGGCAGTTCTGAGAACAGATGGGCCAGATGTGGGAGCAGAGACACACGGGCCAAAGCTGACGGCTTTGTCCGGGCCGCGGAGGGAGCAGAGCCGCGTTAAATGACGGGGAGATGCAGGAAGAGCAGCTTTGGGAGGATTCCGCTTTGGATGGGTGGCGTTTAAGGCCAAGGAGAAGGAGAACTGGAAGTGACGCCGGAGATGGCAGAGAGAGTCCTGGTGGCTTGATAAGAGCTGCTCAGGGGAAGGACAGGAAGAAAAGCCTGACTGACGTGGCCTTCAGCTGGCACAGGTGGTGGTGCTGGTGATTTTTAAAACCAAATGTCCTCATAAAACCACACCGAGCAGCTTTAAGAGTAAAAGCAAAGTCCACAGACAGCTTCTTCAACAAAACCAGGAGAGGGCATGGCACCCCGACTGCAGTGGTGTGGTCCGAGCACCGCAGGACACAGCGTCCTGCATAGACACAGCATCAGCGCTGGCTGGGCAGGGAGGGGAGGAGAGGGAGTCTGCTCTGACAGGGATGGGACTCCTAAGGACTGGAGTTCAGAAATAACTAAAAAATAGCTCCCTCCCCCCAAAAGCGATGCCTCACTGAATAGAACCCTCAGCAAGTGATTCTGAGAAACAGCCAATGAGCCTGGGAGCAGACTTCTCAGGCTCCTTTACAGATAAGGGAACAGCACTGCATGCAGAACCCACTAAGGAGCTGAGGGAGAGGGAGGAGCTACGGGACGCTAGCTATCAAGACTCTGAGAAACACCCAGTAAAGCTCTGCATCAGGGCACCGTCTGGACAAGGTCCTTCCCCTGGATTCTAGCAGTGAAATACAGTAGCAATCATACTTGGGTAAAAACTACTGTTTGAATTTTAACCCTACTATTCTGACTTCGACCTTCACTTACTTGCTTTGTTCATCGCATGATGGGCTTAGGGAGGATGAGTTCAAGTTCTGGGCAAGGTTACAGGCAGGACTTTCTTTTTCATTAAAGAGCCAGCCCTGCCAAAATCGGTTTGGCTCAGTGGTAGAGCGTCGGTCTGTGGACTGAAAGGTCCCGGGTTCGATTCCGGTCAAGGGCATGTACTTTGGTTGCGGGCACATCCCCAGTAGGGGGTGTGCAAGAGGCAGCTGGTCGATGTTTCTCTCTCATCGACGTTTCTAGCTCTCTATCTCTCTCTTTTCCTCTCTGTAAAAAATCAATAAAGCCGAAACCGGTTTGGCTCAGTGGTAGAGCGTCGGCCTGCGGACTGAAAGGTCTTGGGTTTGATTCCAGTCAAGGGCATGTACCTTGGTTGCGGGCGCATCCCCGGTGGGGGTGTGCGGGAGGCAGCTGGTCGATGTTTATCTCTCATCGACGTTTCTAGCTCTCTATCTCTCTCCCTTCCTCTCTGTAAAAAATCAATAAAATATTTTTTTAAATCAATAAAAAATATATTTTTTTTTAAACTTCTTCTTAAAAAAATAAATAAATAATAAAAATAAAAATAAAGAGCCAGCCCTATGTACATTTAGTGGTTATCTCGATGCTGGCCTCAAAAACAATGCTGTTCTATCCAATTAAAAAAAAATGCCCTGGCATGGTATTGAGATTGTGGGCATATCTGGTCTCTGGCCTACAAGGTCAGACAGCTAAGTTTATCTTCATCATTCTTCAAACGGGTTAAAGCAAACTAGAAAGCAACATTTTATCTAGGAAGAACAGCAGAAAATTCTAAACAACAGTTTGTTGCATAATGGGGGTTTTCCTTCTCAGAACCTTTAAAAATAAAGTCGCACAGTCGTGTAGGGTTCGCCTGAGTGTGGTACTCTTGTGGCTGCCCTGGCCAGATATTTCAATAAGTTCTTGCCTGCTTTTTTTTAAATAAATCATCAGCCTCCCGTGGTCTTGTTTTGAACGCAGGGTTCGACCCCACAACAGCAGTTTGTCGTGAAAAAGTATTTAGTGGCCCCAAAACCATTTCAGAGCGCCAGCCAGGGCAGCGGGGCTGTGGATATGAAGTAGCAGAATTATCTTTTTCTCCTTTTTAATGTTTTTATTAAAAACTGCCCTACTGTGGTACCGGGACATACAATACACTGTATACGCTGTGTACATAGTGAAAGAGTGGAGTCTGATGGGTTTAACATGGGGAAGTCCCGTTCAGGGGACACAGAAAAGGGGGAGTGTGGTGCGGTGGCTGGTGGGATCAGAGGTGACAGGAGGACGCAAGGGCAGAAGCCCCAGCCCAGACTGGAGCTGGCAGAGGGAGCTACTGGCCCACGAAACCGAGAAGGCCATGCCGTGGACACCTGTCATCAAAGCTGGCCTCTGCCCACGGAGCATGGTTTCCTGCCAGCAGTGCCATCCCCGGCTGGGTGGTACCAGGATGGCAGAAGCCCTGCATCCTCCTTGTCTTATCCTCATGTTCCCTGCAGAGACCACTGCACGTCCTGGTGGCCACTGAGTGACAGTACCCCAAGTCCCCTGAGGCTGTGAGTGGAAATGCTTATTAATTAGCTCGGAGTCATCACCCCAGGTCTCAGCAGAACCCACAAAGAGCGGAGAGAAATGTGCCCCCAATGAAAACGGGGACTGCTGCTGGCAGAAGCGGAAGTGGATTCAGAGAGCCAGTGACCAGTGTCCACCCAAGAGCAGCATTGTTTCTGTGGGTGGCACTCAGGGCGGAGCTGAGGGGAGAGCCAGAGGGCACTGGCTCTGGGCCATCTGACTCTTGGGCCAGAGGACAAGCTCCCTGCACCGGCCATTGCCCACGATGGCAAGCTCGCCTGGAAGTCAGGTGCCCACAGACAGAATATCGTCTGGAGAGCAAGGAGCAAAGGGCAGTGTCGGGCATCACCCACACTGTGCCCAGAGGGGCTAAGATGCCAGTGCTTCCCTGAGGAGAGCTTCTCCCGGGGGGAGAGGAGGATTCAGGAATGTACCTACTTGCTATATTAGCAGTGGAGGGCCGGAACCCTGAAGTTGCAGACCTGTGTTCCTGATGCCCCCTCCTGCCAGCCCTATGTGCGCCCCCTGTAGGTTCCCAAAACCCACGAGGGTCATTTCTCTTGCCTTTGGCCATCTGTGCATGGGAAAGCAGATTCACAGGCTCCTGCACTGGGGCGGGGCCTCCAGCCCTCCAGAGGCCTCCCCTAATGCAAGGAGGTAGCCCGAAGTAGCGATAGGCCACAGGCGAGGACCCCTCCTTACATCCAGTTCTAGGCCTGTGCCCTGACCTTTGCCCCCTAAGCCCTGGCAGCCTCGCTGAAGCTGCAGCAGACCACTGAGGAGAGCCAGTCTGGAGTGTCCAACGCAGAGAGGCCCAGGGGCCGGCGAGCCCTGGAACCTCCAGAGCCCCGGAGTGCAGTGGACGGGCAGCCTGAGGAAGGACACTTACTTACTTACAGTCGTGGAGGGCGCCTGCAGGAGGGTCCGCCGCTCGGAAAAGGCTGTCAGGCTTGGGCCTGTGCTGGGCTGGGCCTCGGCGCCACTTTCCTGCATGGCTCGGTGCGCGTGCTCCGTGGGGACCCTAATGCTCTTTCCTGGAAGGCCCAGCCTGAGCTGATCACTGGCCAGGGGCTCGGGAACTGTCATGGCAGATGCCACCAACAGCCATCTCTGGGGCCAGTTGGGGCTGGGATAAGGACAGAATCCCTGGGAAGCCAGCGCTGCAGTCAGGCCCTGTGAGGTACACGAGCTGGCTTCTCAGAGTTTCTTTTCTCCTGGCCTGGGCCTCACTTAGAAGGCCTCACAGGATGGGCCCAGAATGCTCCCAACGAGAAGCCAGCCAGCGTGGTGGGCTTGGTGTAGGTGGTGGGTGAGGTGGTGGGACCAGGTGCTGCCCCCTTCAGGCAGTGACTGGGTGCGCATGGGAGGCCTGCAGGCTCAGTGTCCCCTGTGCTGTACTTTGCAGCCTTCCCCAGCTCCTCAGGAGGCATCAGAGCAGCCCGCCAGCCCCACCGCATCCTCCGGGGGCTGCCAGAGCTCCCTCTTGCAGGAGGCGCCCACTGCTTCCCAGGGCCTGCTCAAACTCTTCCAGAGGAATGCGCCAGTGGAGGACCTGGGGGCCAAAGGGGTAAGCTCAGAGCGGGGCTCCATGGCCACGCCAGGCCCACTCGTGGGGGGCTAAGGCCAGCCACAGGCAATGTCGGTGCTGTGGGCGCAGGCCTCTGCAGGGAGGCCCGTGTGCCTGCTGCCTGAGGGTGGTGCCGTGCGCAGTGCAGCCTGAGCTGGCGGCATTTTGCTGCGAGCCCTTGGAAACCTGAGGCGGTCAGCATGGCCAGTGGAGGAGGAAGGTAGGAGAGCCACTGGCCCCAGCAACCTGGGTCACACCATAGCTCCTCATTGCTTTCCCAGGCCAAGGAGAAGATGAAGGAGGAGTCCTGGAACATCCACTTCTCTGAGTACGGGCGCGGCGTGTGCATGTACCGCACGGCCAAGACACGGGAGCTGGTGCTGAAGGGCATTCCCGAGGGCCTCCGTGGGGAGCTCTGGCTGCTCTTCTCCGGTGAGCTGCCCTGCCGACCCCCAGCTGGCTCCTGAGTTGGCCAGGCTGGAAATGGAACTGCGCTGTGAGGGGCCTGGTCCGGGCCCCCTGAGGCCTCCTTTCCTTGGGACAGGCTCTGACCACATGCACACCCTTGGCCACTTGGACAGTTTCAGGAGGAGGGGGATCAGCCATTGGAACTTGGGTGGGGTGCCCCCTACAAGGAGCAGTCACGAGGGAACCTTTGCCTCCCACCACATGACTCCCACCAAAGTTCCACTTCTCTGTGGCACATTGTCGTCTCCAAACTGCCTGTCACTGCCCTGAAGTCCAGGAGGGAAGGAGACAGCCCAGCGGTGTCTCCACAGGGGCCTGGAATGAGATGGTGACTCATCCTGGCTACTACTCTGAGCTGGTGGAGAAGTCCACGGGGAGGTACAGCCTGGCCACGGAGGAGATTGAGCGAGACCTGCACCGCTCCATGCCCGAGCACCCTGCCTTCCAGAACGAGCTCGGGATCGCTGCACTGCGGCGGGTGCTGACCGCCTACGCTTTCCGAAACCCCACCATCGGCTACTGCCAGGTAAGGGGCTGACCAGGGGCCCAGAGAGCATCGCCCACCAGCCGCTCACGGGAGCAGGTCCCCAGGGCCCTGGGCCTGAGTGATGGCCTCACATAATAACTTCAGCAGGGCCGCTCCGAGGTGTAACTAAAAACAATTGCTCATCTCGTCCCCATGCTATGTTTTGTTGCCTTCTGTGTGCCTCTGGCACGGGTCCTGGGGTATTTGATTATTGTGTGTGTGTGTGATAAACACATAATAAAGCTTACCGCCTTCCCCATTCATTCTCAAGTATATGCTCTGTGGCGTTAAGTATATCTTTGTGCCGCCTTCATTACCATCCATCACCAGAACTCTTTCAATAATTTCCCTAGTTACCCCTGGCAACCGCTGTTCTGTCTCTGTGAATCTGACTCCCCGAGGAGCTGTGGACTCAGTTAAGTGGACTCAGAGAGTCCTTCATCTTTGGCTGTTGTGAATATGCTGCTATGAACTGAGTGACAGTATCTGTTCCAGTCCCTGCTTCCAGTTACGTTGTTTATTTACCCAGAAGTGGAAGTACCAGTCATATAATAATTCTCTATTTAAATAATTTAGGAATTGCCGTAGCATTTTCACAGAAGTTACATCATTTACATTCCCACCAGCAATGCTCAAGGCTTCCAGTTTCCCCTCATCTTCATCCTTGTTATTTTCTGTGTTTTTGGTAACAGCCATCCTAATGGTATGAGGCGTCTTCTCATTGAAGCTTTGATTTGTATTTCTGGCAGAATTTTATTGTAAATCTGGTGAGCATTTTTCTGGCCAGGTCAGATGGCTTCCTGTTTCCCATAGCTTGCTCCTGGACTTCAGAAAAGCAGGACAACTCCCCAAAAATCACTTTCTGTAGGGCCAGTGTTCTGCATGAATTTCACCGGGGCATGGGAAGCCAGTACGGTAGCTTTAAGTAATTTTTAAGCCAGTATATGACCACTGAAGCTGTGCGGGTCCCAGTCTCCCTGCAGGCATGGAGCCTGGCACACAGCTCACTTACACGTCCACCTGTACTCACACACCTCCGACACCGGATGCCACTCAAAAAGTGCCACTTGCTCATGTCTGCCTTCTCAGTTTTCCAAGTGCCTGCTGCCCAATTTGAGGGACTTGGCTGACTGTTTTTGTCAAGTTGATTTCCTGCAAATTACTTTTGACAAATTATACATAGCCCAGTGGGATGGTTTGTTGTTGCCAAACTTGATTGTAGTGCCACACCCTTTGCGGAATGGACAGTTTTCCTTGGCGTCCAGCTCCGGAGCCTCCTTCACCGTCTCTGTGCCCACAGGCCATGAACATCGTCACCTCAGTGCTCCTGCTCTACGGCAGCGAGGAGGAGGCCTTCTGGCTGCTGGTGGCCCTCTGCGAGCGAATGCTGCCCGACTACTACAACACCAGGGTGGTGGGTGAGTGCCTGCCGCCTGCTGGCTCTAGGGTGGGGCCTCCCTGGACCTGGCTCCCCGCCCAGCATATCCTGCACGGGAGCCCTCGGAGGCCTCGGCCATGCTGCAGGCTGAAGACAGCCCCGTCCCACTGGACAAACCGGGACGCTGCAAAGTGGAGAGCCATGCAGTCAGACTGCCGCGGACGCCCCAGGAGGGCTGCAGGAAGAGCAGGCCATGCAGATTGTGGTTTTTCCAAGTCAGCTTGGTGCCTAAATTCCGAAGCATCTAACTCTTCCTAAACTCTTTTACTGTGGACAGCTTCCAGCCCACAACTAGAGTGTACAGTGCACCGGGCACCTCTTACCCAGCCCGGCCCTCACGAACTCGGTGGGGGTTCTGTCAGTAGTGGAAGTGCACTGGCCAGTGTGTTTTGTGATGTATGTCTGTTCTTTCAAAATGTTCTTCCCCTACCATTTGTCTCAGGGGTCTCTGATCTAGGGTCCTTTAGAATCATATCTGTTCTCCAGCTCCAAGGCAGGTACAACACAAGCCACCAATATCACTGTTACTTCCCCAGAAAAAAATCCCCAGTATAATGGAAGAAATGATTATTTTATTTTATTTTATTATTATTTTTTTTTTATAAATTTTTATTGATTTTATACAGAGAGGAAGGGAGAGAGATAGAGAGTTAGAAACATCGATGAGAGAGAGTCATCGATCAGCTGCCTCTTGCACACCCCCTACTGGGGATATGCCCGCAACCAAGGTACATGCCCTTGACCGGAATCGAACCCGGGACCCCTCAGTCCCCAAGCCGACGCTCTATCCATTGAGCCAAACCGGTCCCGGCAGAAATGATTATTTTAAACCACCAAATATGTAATGTCCCTTCCTGCAGCCACTCCTGGGGAATCACAGGAAATCTGGGGAGACAGCCTGGCCCGCCTGCATTTGGCTCTCCACTTTGCTGTTGTGTTGGCGGAGCTGGCCAGGGACCCTGGGGCTTCCTGCCCCTTAGGCCCTGGGGTCCCACACGGGCCACCAGAGCCAGGGGCAGGGCTCAGCTGACACTTCTCCGTGCTCTCACAGGGGCCCTGGTGGACCAAGGCATCTTCGAAGAGCTCGCCAGAGACTTCCTGCCCCAGCTCTCTGAGAAAATGCAAGACCTAGGGGTAATCGCCAGCATCTCGCTCTCCTGGTTCCTCACCCTCTTCCTCAGCGTTATGCCCTTCGAGAGCGCCGTGGTCATTGTCGACTGCTTCTTCTACGAGGGCATCAAGGTGGTCCTGCAGCTGGCCTTGGCCATCCTGGATGCCAACGTGGACCAGCTGCTGGTCTGCAGCGATGAAGGCGAGGCCATGACCATCCTGGGCAGGTGACCGACCGAGTGGCCTCCCTTCTGCTGGAGAGCCCGCCCTTCCTCCGTCCTGGGCACTCCTCGCCTCCCAGCCAGGGCTAGAGTCAGGGACACTCCAGAGGGGGCTGGCGCCTCCTTTCCCGTGGGAGATGAATGGCATAGGGTAGCGATCGCCACCTGGAGGGCCTATTGGGGGGCGGAGAAGGGCCTCTCACTTGTGCCTCCCTTAGCCCAGCAGCATCACCTCCATCCCCAGCCCGAGGGCTCACTGGGCCTGCCGTGATCGCAGAAAGTGGTCCTGGCGTCCTCCTCCTCTCCAGTCCCCACGCTCGTCCTCACAGACACTCTGGAGGATCAGCCCTCCCTCCGGCCCCATGCCTGCCTCATCGTGGTTCTCCCTGCTCCCCTCTCACCCTCCGCCATCCCTCAGGGATCTTGCTGATCAGAATCTCACCGTCTCTCCCCTGGACCTAGGGGCTCCCTGTACTCCTGGTGGATCTCTGTACAAAGAAGCTGAGTCCCCCAGCCTGGCCTTCAGACCCCTTACATGCAGGCCCCTCCTGGCCTCATCCGGCTCACAGCCTGAGCTCTGTACAGTCCTTCTGATCGTGTGCCCATATTTGGCCCATCTGGAATGCCACTGCCCAGAACAGCCTGGGACACTGCCAGTCAACCCAGGTGCCGTGGGAGGTGCAGCCAGCGGCCAGAGTCTGAGACGGGTTCTCACGCCCATCTCACACCAAAAACATTGGGCCTCAGAGACAGGAACCTGTGGGTGTAGATCAGCACCCTCTCCGCCCGAGTGTCAGCCCAGCCCAGCAAGGGCGTGAGGTCCTGGCCGGCCAAAGCCAAGCCCTGGCCTAAGGCAGTCCTTGGGGAAGCAGGTCCCGAAGACCCCACAGCGGGGCCCCTTTGCCTTTCTCCTGGACATTCTTTGGTCCCTGATTCTTCCTAGCCAGCAAGTCCCCACGTCCCCGAGGGCTGGACAGAGGGAAGGAGCACATCCTTCCAATGACAAAGCGCCTTCTAGGATGTGAGGGTCTGGCTTCCTCGGGCTTTGAGGGAGCGAGGCCTTCTCTCCACTGCCTCCAGGGGTGATGTGCCAGGGCTCCTCTCCCACTGCCCGCAGAATGCCAGCCCTCAGCAGCTCCTTCATTAATTGGGAGATTGCAAATTAAGTCCTTCCACACACTGTCGCCTGTTAGCGGTCTAGACTTCTGTCCTTCAATCCCTCCAGATACCTGGATAATGTGGTCAATAAGCAGAGTGTTTCTCCGCCCATCCCACACCTGCACGCCCTGCTGACCAGTGGAGATGACCCTCCTGAAGAGGTGGACATCTTTGACCTCCTCAAAGTGTCCTATGAGGTCAGCACTGGCCGGCATGGTTGGCCAGGCCATTCATTTGGTCCCTGTGGTGCGGGTGGCCCAGCAGTGGTGGCCCTCTGCTCCGTGTCCTCACCTCACTGAGTCACCCTTGGCCCATAGAAGTTCGGCAGCCTGCGGGCCGGCGACATCGAACAGATGAGGTTTAAACAGAGGCTGAAAGTGATCCAGTCCTTGGAGGACACGGCCAAGAGGAGTGTGGTATGATGGCCCAGGTTGTGGGGGGCAAAGGTGGGGTGGTACCCCATGTGGGTGCTCCTGCTGTGCTGCCTTCAGTCCTCCCCTCAGGGCGGGGCAGGCGCAGTTCCCTAGCGCTGCCTCGTGTGGGACTGGCATCAGGGCGCACGTGCCAGTCACTGCTTCCTGCTCGTGGGTTGGTCACTGGGAAACTTGTCTGACACCCACTGCCCACAGGCCAAACAAATAAGCAGAGTGTTTCTCCGCCCATCCCACACCTGCACGCCCTGCTGACCAGTGGAGATGACCCTCCTGAAGAGGTGGACATCTTTGACCTCCTCAAAGTGTCCTATGAGATCTTACTCTGTGCTGAGCCCTCGCCTGGCAGTGCCCCTGCCTCTGGGTAGTGACACTCAGCCACCCTCCACCCACCCAGTCCACCGGAGGTCTGCTGTAAGCCTTTGTTCCCCTCATCTCTAGAGGGAGAATTTACTGAGAAGTTCTAGAACAATTTCCAAAGAGCCAGTCAGTCTTCCCAGGGACCCAGACAGCAGCCACGAGATACCTGCCCCTCACCCTGTGTCCTTGACAGGCATTGAGGACAGAAAGCTCCCCGGTACCCCCAGGAGGGAGTGTGAACCGAGTGGCAGATGGGTGTGGAGGGAATAGGTGGACCACACCCTCTTGAATGGACTGCCTCCAGCGGGCAGCACCACACAGGGTTCTGTTTCCTCCTCACCCACCGGGGTCTCTCGGAGAGCCTCTTGCCTTCTCCATGGCAGGCACTTGAGAAGCTGTCACTCACTCGTTTCTCTCCCCTCCTAGGTCCGGGCTATCCCTGGGGACATCGGTTTCTCAGTTGAAGAGCTGGAGGACCTGTACGTGGTGTTTAAGGTGAAGCCAGAGCAAGGGCAGCCCCAGCCCCGTCCTGTCCCCGGTGCATCCTCAGATGCAGCTGCCACAGGCGGCATGTGATGGAGTGAAGTCCTTGGAGTTTAGGCAGGACGTGACCTTAAGCGTCAGAGACCCACTCGCCGGCTTACACCGAAGAGGGGATGCTTGGCTTGTGTGACGCAGCCTGGGCATGGCAGGGTGCAGCTCCCCCTGCTGCTGGGCACCCCAGCCCGACGCCCCTGGACCGCCCTCCCAGTGTGAGCAGTGGCAGGGCCGTCGGCAGCGCGGCCCCGTGCTCAGTCACCGCACTGGGAGAAATGTTTCTTTCCAAGTGGTTCTGGCGAAGGGCTCAGGGTGCTGTGGCTGTAGGAGTGTCGCTGGGTCAGAAGGGCCATCTGCCTGCCCCGTTGCTTGAGGCTGGGGCAGGGGCTTTCCAGGAAAACTCCGGGTGCTGTTAACAGACGAAGGGGAAGGGTGAAGGCCACACTGGTCGGCTCCGGTCATTTCCCTTCGACCCTCGGCTGCCTCTGGCTCAGCCCCCGAGGTGGCCGCTGTGCTGTGGCCTTAGGGCACTGCCGTTCGCCCACCATGGCCCAGTGTGACCTGTCCCCGCACCCACACCTGTGAACAGGGCCGGAGGTCCGGGGAGGCTGTGCAGCTCGGCGCTCACCACCCGGGCCTCTGCAGCCCTGGCTGGAGGAGGGGGTGGGCACGTGGACCACCGTCTCCCCCGCTGTGCCCGCAGGCCAAGCACCTGGCGAGCCAGTACTGGGGCAGCAGCAGGCCCACCGCTGTGCGCCGGGACCCCAGCCTGCCCTACCTGGAGCAGTACCGCATCGACGCTGGCCAGTTCCAGGAACTCTTTGCCAGCCTGACGCCCTGGGCCTGTGGCGCCCACACGCCCGTGCTGGCGGGGCGCATGTTCCGGCTCCTGGACCGAAACAAGGACTCGCTGATCAACTTCAAGGAATTCGTGACGGGGATGAGTGAGTGGCTCCAGGGCCATTTTCCACTGGAGACCCGGGGGCCCAGTGGGGCTCCTCCCTCCCTCAGCCCGGTGCTTCCACGGTGGGTCTGTGGGCCCCGGAGAAGGGCGGAGCTCGGGGCGGCAGGAGGCCTGGCCCCTCCCGGGACCCTCCGGAGGGCAGGAGGGCGTCAGCGTGAGGAGGGCCCAGGAGAAAGGGCAGGCAGAGGGAGGAGCCCTCTTACCAGAGCCTCTCCTCCGCAGGCGAGATGTACCACGGGGACCTGACAGACAAGCTCAAGGTGCTCTACAAGCTGCACTTGCCCCCAGGTGAGCCCCCTCCCATCCCCAGTGAAGGCACCTCACTGTCCAGAGCTGGCCCTGCAGCATCCAAGGCCCAGGCCTCTGGGGGGGGCAAGAGCAGTGGGGCCCCCTCCCCATGAGCTGGTGCTGAGGCACAGCCAGTTGGTCTGAGCGTTAGCAAGAGTGGCTGCACGGAGAGTTCTCCAGGGCTGGTCCCCGAGGGGCCTGGGCTGGCAGGTTTTCACCGGCCCCAGACCCTGCCCTGGGTGGAGCCGCCCTCCTGCTGCCGGCCGTGCCGTCAGCACTGCCGGGAGGGATTTGCGAAGAGCTGGTGCCACACTCACTCCCAGAGGCTGTCACTTCGTCGGCCCAGAGGGCGGTTTTAAAGACGGTCTGTGCAGCCAGAGTGGGCAGCCCTGCTGTTCGCTGCCCTCGCCTGTGCTGTGGCTGGTTGTTCCCTGTGAGGCCACAGGCCACAGTGGCTCCAGGGAAGTTGTATGGCCACCAGGCCCTGCCACCGCTCCGGTGCCACACACTGTGCCACCCGCGCTGCGCTCCCTCGCACAACAGGGAGAATCCGCCCCACTGAACCGTGTGGGTCCCCAGGGCCACTCACAGAGAATGTCCCCATGTGGACGCGTGTCCCGGGGCATGATGGGAGGAGAGCGTGTCCCTGTGCACTGTGGTCCCTGCACACACGCTGGCAGGAGCACAAACATCCCCGAAGGCCCTCTGGGCCCAGCACAGGGGAGGAAGGCTGGCCGCTCCCTGGCCTCCCGCTGCACTGGCTGAACTTGTACCTGTGACAACTATCACATTTCAAACACAACGTGGAAGTCCAGAAAGTGACAGAACCACAGCCCGGCTTCATGAGGACCACGTGCTCTGTGGCGGGCGGGAGTGGAGGGCACGCCTTGTCAGGACTCAGGACAGGAGTCACGTTGTTTCTCCTGCCCTCGCCCTCCTTTCGCTCTGAGCACAGCCCTGAACCCAGAGGAGGCCGAGTCCGCCCTGGAAGCAGCCCACTATTTCACCGAGGACAGCTCCTCGGAAGGTGAGCGCAGCTGGGCCAGGAGGCCGGCAGCCCTGTGGGGAAGGACCTGCCTTGTTGGGGTGCTCTTGAGCCAGGGGCCTGCCTCTCTCTGGGCAGACCCCTAGGGTGTTCTCACGCACTTCTCTTGTCTCTGCCTTCCTGGACTCGCCTCCCCCTCCCTCCCTGTGCCCTTCATTCCCCCTCTCCTTCCAGCATCTCCTCTGGCCTCAGCTCTGGATCTTTACCTGCCCTGGGAGGCTCAAGGTCAGTCCCTGGGGGCAGCATGCCCTCTGCCCTGGCTGCCTCCAGGCCTTGGCGCTGTCTTCCTCACAGTTCCCTGCACGGCCAGGAGGCCTGCAAGCTTTTGGCCCCAGAGATGCTCCTGTGTGGCTAAGTCCTGAGCAGGACCCGCAGCCCAGGGCCGTCATGGCGGTCAGTGAGGACACCCAGCAGGCGCGCCTTGTGCAGGCACCGGAGCGTCAGCTCCACCGCCATGTGCAGAACGTGTCCCATTGTCTCACTCACAGGAAAAAGCACAAACGCTGCCATTGCAACCGGGCAAAGCTCAAGCAGGATGCATGGCAATGGAGGAGGGTGGTGGGTGCTTCCTTGAAAATGTTTCTCATGTCCCACACCCTTCCCTGTGGGGGTGGATATGATTGTTAAATCCCTGTGCTGCGCTTAAGCCATTGGGGCCTCCAGATGGTGGGGCATTCTGGGCCCGGGCTTTGGCACCGAGCTGGAGGTGAATAATACACTTACCCAAAGGACCAGAACTCTGCCCTGTAACTTCTCAGGGGGATGAGGGGAACATTACACACCAAGGATAATGCCTCCATCAGAAATTACACATCAGGGCAGCCCTGATCTGTGTGTTCAGTGGTTAGAACATCAGCCCTCTCACCGAAGGGTCGTGGTTTCTATTCCTAGATAAGGACACGTATACATATCTGGGTTATAGGGTTTTGTTTTGTTTTTCTGTTCATTTTTAAAAAATATATTTTTATTTTTTTTACAGAAAGGAAGGGATAGAGAGAGAGCTAGAAACATCAATGAGAGAGAAACATCAATCAGTTGCCTCCTGCAGCCCCCCACTGGGGATGTGCCCACAACCAAGGTACATGTCCCCGACCAGAACCAAACTGAGACCTTTCAGTCTGCAGGCTGATACTCTATCCACTGAGCCAAACCGGTTTTGGCGGGTTTAGGGTTTTGGTTTTTTTTAAATATATTTTATTGACTTTGTACAGAGAAGAAGGGAGAGAGATAGTGAGTTAGAAACATCGATGAGAGAGAGTCATCAATCAGCTGCCTCCTGCACACCCCCTACTGGGGATATGCCCGCAACCAAGGTACATGCCCTTGACCGGAATCGAACCCGGGTCCCTTCAGCCCCCAAGCCGACACTCTATCCACTGAGCCAAACCGGTTTCGGCAGGTTTAGTTTTTTTTTAATATATTTTTATTTATTTCAGAGAGGAAGGGAGAGATGGAACGTCAATGATGAGGGAATTGATCTGCTGCTTCTTGCATGTCCCACAATGGGGATAACCCTTCAATGGGAATCGAGCCCAAACCTGGGCATGTGCCCTGGCTGAGAACCAAACTGTGACCTCCTGGTTTGTAGGTCACTCAACCACTGAGCCAACCACTGATCCCCAGGCCCATCAGAGAGGGCGCAGGAGGCAACCAACCAATGTGCCTCTCTTCACCACTCACTCCCTTCCTCCCACGGTCTCTAAAAATCAATGGAAAGCATATCTCCAGGAAAGGATTAAAAAAAGAAGAAATACAGAGCTGAGCAATATTTAAAACTTCATCCTCGGCTGGTGTGGCTGGATTGCTAATTAAGGCCCCTTCGGTTTGAGCTTTTCAGCAGAGACTACAGAAATTAGTTCTTGGAGTTTGTCTCCCTAATGTGCACCATCGTTCACTTGAACACTGAATGGTGCTATTTATATTCCTTTGAAAGACGGGCAGTGCGGGCTGGTGGCTCCGGGTTGCATGTAGCCAGGTGGAGAGGAGCAGTCCCCGTGCTGCCAGCCGGGGGCCAGTGCAGAGAGCAGAGCAGCGCCTGCCCCCGGGGCCACGCTTGCTCCTGCAGGAGACCAGGGACGAGCGCTCACGGACCTCAGCGTGGAGGCGTAACAGAGAATGTTCTGTGTTCTTTTCTCGGTCCACCAGAAGCTCTGCGGCAGGAGGAGGGAGAGGGAGCTGGGAATGAGGACGTCCAGGGAAAGAGAGGAGGTAAGTACAGGCGTCTCCCTGCGGCTGTGGAGCCCGGGGCCAGGGGGCCATGCCCTGTCACTCCGGGAAGGCCCCACAGGAACATGGCAAGCCCTGCCTGATGCCAAGCTCTCTCTCCCTGTGGAAAGGGTGGGATGTGAGGGAGGCCCTGTACACGTCAGCCCCAGGTCTGAATCTTCTTGTAGCTGTGAACTCATCCCCACCCCCCACACCCCATGCTGTCGCCACCTCCTCCCTCCGGGGGGCTGTTTTCTGCCAGAAACTCCTCATGCTGTCCACATTCCAGCCTCCCGTGGTCCCATCACCATCTTGGGGCTTGGGGCCAAGTTGGTTCATCTTTAACAATTTAGCTCAAACCTACTTTAGCATAACCCAGGGGAGGCCCCTGAGTGTCTGGAGTGTTCTTTCCCTTCCCCAGTGCTGGGATGTTTGTAAAAGGGCCCAGGTAGCTCCGTGCCAGACCACACCCTAACCCGCTCATTCCCTGCTACCAGCCCCAGCCCTGACCATTTGATAGATGGAGTTTAATTTTTTCTTCAACTCACAGAGGAGAAGGGGACCAGCCCCCCTGACTACCGGCACTACCTTCAGATGTGGGCCAAGGAGAAGGAGGCTCAGAAGGAGACCATTAAGGACCTTCCCAAGATGAACCAGGTAGCCCCACCCCCACCCCAGCCCCGAGCCTGCAGCAGACGCTGCGTGAGTGGCTGAGCCGGGCCTCCCACCGCCCCCCAGAGGGGGTTTCTCTCTGCCTCTGGGTCCTGCTGGTCAGGTGGCAGGGAGGATTCCGGAAGGACGGGGCAGGTGGTGGGCGTGGGGCCGTGTCGTGGGACAGCTTGTTCACAGTCACTCGGGAGCCATGAACCAGAAGGGCACTGGGGAAGGTGGGCCTCTGAGGAGCGGAGACCGACCACCACCGTCCAGGAGAGGCACGGCGCTCCTGCTGCCGGCCCACGCGCTCTGTGCTCACAGGCCCTGGTGGTTTGCTGGCCTCTAGGTCCGGGGCCTGAAGTCTTGGTGAAGTTCTCAAGGCCAGGACCACAGACATGCAACCAAAAGCAGTTTTTTTTTAATTGTTTGTGTTTATTTCTGAGAGGAAAGGAGAGGGAGAGAGAGAAACATTAATGAAAGATAAGCATCAATTGGCTACCTCCACATGGGGAATCGAACCATGACACTCAACCACTGAGCCACACCAGCCTGAGTGGGGCCCTGCTCTGCCCAAAGGAGCTCCCTGCAGTGAGGCACTCACATCCGCAGGCAGGAAGCATCATGTGTGATCTCAGGACCGGGGACCCAACCCCCTTCCCCTCACTGACCAGGCCGCACTGGCCTTGTCACCACCCTCTAAAGAGCTCTGTCAGGAGCGGAAGTCACTCTGATTAAAGACATAAAATGCTGAGGTGGCTCCAAAACACAGAGAGGAAATCCGTGTAGTCACTGGGTCCAGAGAATCGCGATAGGAAAAGGTCCATCTCTGCTAACAGAGGACACGACCGAGAGAGTTCAGGCAGCTCTCTGTGCCAGAAGGCAGCTGGGAGACAGCCCCTCCCAGCCACCTTCCCTCTCCGACCTCACTGAGGCTGGCCTGGCCCCACAGGTAGGGGGTAGGTGACCAGCGCTGGAAGACTGACCTCCCTGCCCTTGTTCTGCTTTCCCTCTAAAAGGAACAGTTCATCGAGCTGTGCAAGACGCTGTACAACATGTTCAGTGAAGACTCCATGGAGCAGGACTTGTACCACGCCATCGCCACCGTGGCCAGCCTGCTGCTGCGCATTGGGGAGGTGGGGAAGAGGTTCTCGGCGCAGCCCGGCAGGAAGCCCCGGGACGGTGCCCCCGGGGAGGACCAGCCCCCCGCCCCCGACCCCCCGCCGGACCCTGCCCGGGAGCTCCAGCCACCAGCTGTGGGCGACCCCCAGGCCAAGGCTGGTGGAGACACCCAGCTTGGGATGGCACCGCAGGAGAGCCAGGCGGTGGGCGAAGGGGGCGGTGGCGAGGGCCTGGGCTCCCCCTCCCAGCGTCTGTCCGATGACGAAACCAAAGACGACATGTCCGTGTCCTCCTACTCGGTGGTCAGCACAGGCTCCCTGCAGTGTGAGGACCTGGCCGACGACACTGTGCTGGTGGGCGGGGGGGCCCGCAGCCCCGTGGCCCCCAGCCGCAGCGGGGGCTCCGTCGACGCCGACTGGAGCATCTCCTTCGAGCAGATCCTGGCCTCCGTCCTGACGGAGTCTGTGCTGGTGAACTTCTTTGAGAAGAAGATGGACATTGGACTCAAGATCAAGGACCAAAGGAAAGTGGAGAGGCAGTTCAGCTCCTCCAGTGACCATGAGCATTCTGGGGTTTCCAGCTGAGCACTGCGAGTGGGGGCTGACTCCTTCCCTCCGCTCTGGTTTCTCCCTAAGCACACCCCCCCTTCTCCCCGGAAGCAGTGAACTGTAGAGGGAAAGAAGGCTGGACAGCCGCAGTGGGGGCCAGGCAGAGGCTCCCCGCCCTCTTCCAACCCTGGGCCCAGTGGGCCAGCAGTGTGCCAGAGCCTCCTGTCTGCCTCTGCCTGCCAGTGCCTCCCCCTGTGCCACAGCCAGGCCACACTGAGCCTCCCCCACAGGCTCTCCTGCACGGACCTGCCTGTTGGCACCAGTGGTAGCTCTCCAGGAGCCCCTGAGGGACCCTGGGTGCCATGCAGGCGTATCCTAAATGTTCCTTCAGCTCGTCATCCTCACCATTAACCTTAAACACATTCCTCGGGTCCTGACGTATTTCCTTGTGTTCTTTTCCGTTAGCTAACAATCACAGTGTTTAATGCCTTAATGAGTCCCTGGGAGAACTAAAACCATGTGGTGGCCCTGGCCAGTAGGCTCAGTGGCTGAGCATTGCCCCATGCACCAGAAGGTCTCAGGTTCAATTTCCTGTCAGGGAACCTGCCAGGTTGTGGACCTGATCCCCAGGAAGGGCATGCAAGAGGCAGCCGATGGATGTTTCTCTCCCTCTCTCTAAAATCAATAAAACCCTATTTTTAAAAACAATCATGCTGTGAACAGGAGCCTGAAGGTGGCCCTTGGCCACTGCTTGGGGCTCCTGGCTTCCCCACCTCGGGCCGCCTCCCAGACGTTCCAGACAGTCCCTGCAGGGTGGGTTCCAGGCTCCCCGGGAGATGGGGACACAGACGGTGTGATGAAGGCTGAGCTGAGCAGGGCCGCTGGTGACCTGTGACAGAGCCCGAGCTCTGCTCCACACGTGTGAGCAGTCTGGGCCTGGGTGCTGGAAGCAGGCTGGGGGCTACAGGGAACAGGCTGAGCCACAAGCACCCTCTTGCTTTGCATCAGGAGCTGATCATCCGTGTCCAATGTTACACACACACACAGTAGCTCTTTTAGAAGATATCGCTTTAAAAGAAAATCTAATATTTGAAGGTCTTGCAGCACGGGTCCGCATGGGGCACAGATCCTGAGCCCACACCAGGAGGTGGCACCACCCACAGTGCAGCGTGCAGGGGTCCCGGGCCACAGAGCTACCCAAGTATCTTCAGCTCAAGAAGTTAGATGAGCCGGGACCGGTTTAGCTCAATGGATAGAGCGTCGGCTTGGGGACTGAAGGGTCCCGGGTTCGATTCCGGTCAAGGGCATGTACCTTGGTTGCGGGCATATCCCCAGTAGGGAGTGTGCAAGAGGCAGCTGATCGATGACTCTCTCATCGATGTTTCTAACTCTATCTCTCTCCCTTCCTCTCTGTACAAAATCTCAATAAAATATATTAAAAAAAAGAAGAAGAAGAAGTTAGGAGATGAGGTCCCTGGACGCCTGGACATCTCTGGCAAGGGCACTCCCCAGGTTACTGGGGTCTTTGAAGTAATGGTAGCAGGGAAGTTGTCTCACTCTAAGAAGAGAGGCGATGGCTACGGGGACACAGAGAGCAAGTTTCTGATGCTGCTGGCTGCCATCACAGCCGCCCTAAAGGCGGAGCCCTGTGACCTTGGCCCAGCCCCTCTGGGCAGACGCTTGATAGGATGGACTGAATGGCCGGTCTTTTCCTGGTGTTCTGCGGCTGCCCAGCAGATGGACGCTCTGGTCTTTGCCTGTGTGTGTCCCGGAACCTCGCATTGCACACTGGCCCTGGCCCGACATCCGCCATCTCCCTGCCTGCACTCCCATGTCTCCCTGTCCCCGCTCTGCTGTTTGGGTGGGTCTGCTCCAGGCTTCTTTCCCAAGGAGGAGGCGAGAGGGGGATCCAGTGCGTGAGTCTCAGGTTTCAGCCTTGTTTGCAACATTCACGGTTCAATAAATATTGAATGAATTTTTAAAATCTAATATTACAGTTTTATTGGGACATAATTTACCATAAAATTTACTTGTTTTAATTTACAATTCAGTCTTAAATTGATTGTAATCAATTAGGAAGATTTAAATAACTGGAAATTAGGATAAATTTTTGTATGGAGAAGTATAAATTTTAAAATATACCAAAGAAGAATATAAAAGAGAAATCTAGCCTTTTCATATTGTAGGATGGGGAAATTTCCTGGCTGGTCTAATAATTTAGCAAGAGACATATTAACAGTAGAAAACAACTAAATTTAATTACATATGTACAGAGGAATATGAGGCCCAGGACAACTCGGGCAGTTGAGGTTGATATGCCACCTTGAGCTAAGGAGCAAGGGGGTGGGTCTAGGACTTCAAAATAGAGATGGAGAAGCAAATGTTTGGTAAACAAATGTTGGCTGTGCCGCCTTTAACAATGGCACATAGAGGACTTTGATCAAAGGGCGTTGCTGGTTCCTCCCTGTCCATCACACACGGGCTCTTACACACGCGTTCATATGAAGCTCGCTCTCTGTGATGATAGCGCCCTCTCTGGAGCAGGCCCCCTACATTATTTAGGCACTTCAGGGCAAAGGCAAAGGTTTTTCTGACTCTTTTTTTTTTTAAATAAACACCTTAAAATAACATCCGAAAGAGAGATATACCGAGGTTTGCAAACTCGGCTCCTTTCAGCAGGTTTAACGGAATGTACAAAAATGTAAACAATAGTACTTTCACCTATCATTCAACCTGAATTGATACTCAAAATTCCTTTTTTATTTTACTTTTTTACTTATTTTTTTATTAAATTATTATCTATACATATTTTACCATTTCCCACCCCCCATACATACCCTCCCTCCCCAGAGTTTTGTGTCCATTGGTTGTGCTTATATGCATGTATACAAGTCCTTCGGTTGATCTCTTATCTCCCCCAGATCTCCCTACCCTCCCCGCTGTAATTTGACAGTCTGCTTGTTGCTTTACTGTCTCTATATCTATCTTTTGGTTCATCAGTTTATAATGTTCTTTATTATCCATAAACGAGTGGATACTCAAAATTCTTAACAATCCGAACAGTATTTAAAACTTTCACAACTAAAAGCTTCTCAAAAGAAAGGCCTTATTAATCCAAATGCTAGCCTGCAGAGATTAAAAATGGCAGCAGAATCAGTGAATGCTGCTCAGACACGCTCCCAAGACCAAACTGGAATTACAACTAAAAGACAGAAAAACTGCCCGAATAATCAATGAAAGAATTGTCGGAGAGAACCCTGATAACTAAGGATAGAAAGTGGAGACACACAGAGACTGGTAGGAGGGGCAGAGGCACAAAAGGGCTGGCCCAGTGTCCACAGACAGTAACTAAAGTCCTGGAGTCTCAGCTGTGGGTGGTTGCCACTGGAACTCTGGGGTCTAATCCCTAAGTTTGCCCCCCCCCAGCACAGAACTGAGAAGGGTACCCACAAAACATTGGCTGTGAAAAGCAGTGGGGTTTTGTCTGCCAAGGAGAGAGAGCTGGAAATACAGGCACCCTCTTAAAGGGCCAATGCACAAAATTCCTGTGGAGACACTCACCTTGTGCTTTGGTGGAGGGAGGGCAGAGTGGACTGGAGCTGTATGTGCAGAAGCCAGGATCAGGGGCTCTGGGGTTGGAACTCAGACAGCAGACACGCTGGTTTCCTGTGCCAAGTAATTCCCTCACATTGTGTTCATCTTTCTCAAGTAGACATTTGACTGGGGGGGATGACAGTTGACCCACCATATTGGAAAACACATTGTCCCACATTGCAGTTTCTGAGGCCCATTAAGAGACTGAGAATAACAATTACCTCCAGACAGAAGCAATTGCCCCACCCTGTTGAATTAAACTCCTGCCACACTTGTGGATGATTGCCTGAGGGCTATTCAACAGATCCCATCAGTCTGTAGGCAGAGACGTCTCTGGAGGCTTTGAGTCTTTGCCTGATCTAGTCAGAAACAGCCCTAAAAATATACATGCATCTTTACTTCAAACTCACACTCTTTGTAAAGAACCTATATGATAACCCATGCTGTGATAGTAAGCAACCATCCTTTAGAACGTTATTTCCATTTTTTTTTTTTGTCCTACTTCAGTGAACATTGTACATAAATAATACATCCAGCCCTGGTTTGGCTCAGTAAATAGAGCATGGGCCTGCGGACTGAAGCATCCTGGTTGATTTCGGGGCAAGAACACATGCCCTGGTTGCGGGCTTAATCCCCAGGAGGGATCGTGTATGAGGCAGCCAATCAATGACTCTCTCATCATTGATGGTTCTAGCTCTCCCTCTCTCTTCTTAAATCAATAAAAATGTATTTTTTTAAAATAATAATACATCTGGGTGATTCAGGGTGTTTTATAACGGTTTCCATTTTACTGCTCTAACAGCATCCCAAGGAAGGGCTCCTCTCGCCACCCTTGTCAGGCCTGGGAGCTGGAATTCTTTTAACCAGAAGGTTTGTGTTGTCTGGCGGCTGGAGCAGAAGTGGCGCGGGAGGGTGGGGATGGGGGTGAGGGGGTGGGGGGGAGCTTGCTCCTCCTCCTTCCTGAATGGGGACTGAGCGGTGGGGCTCCGGGGCTGCAGGAGGGATGGGTTGGCGTTTACAGCTGCCCGTCGCCGAGCCAGTTCCCGGGACCCCGCTCAGGTGTCCTGCTCCCTGGCCGGTGGCCGGAGGGGAGGCGGCTGCAGCCCCCTCGAGGCGACGTAAAGGAGCGGGAGGAGGGAGGGTGCGGCAGAGGCGGACCCGCAGCAGCGGCCGGAGGCCCGGCCCTTGCGGTACAATCTTCCCGGCGAGTCCCGGGAAGCGCCGGCGCCGACGGAGAAGGGCCTGACTGGCCCAGGGTCTGACGCGAACGCAAAGCACCGCCCACGCCCCAGTGTGCGGCCGGGGCTGCGCAGGGGCCCAGCCACCCCAGGGCACGCTGGGGGCGGGGGCGGGGCGAGCGCCGTGGGGTGGGGGCGGGGCGAGCGCCGTGGGGGCGGGGCCCGGCGCAGGGCGCAGGCGCACACGGCTGGCGGGGGCGGGGCCCGGGGTCCGGTGGGCGCGGAGGGCTGAGGAGCGGGGCGCCCGCACTCGCGGGCCGTGGACGAGGCCGCCATGGCGCCGCCTCCGCAGGCCCGGGTCCTGCGCTGCTGCCGCTGCCGCCTGTTCCAGGCGCACCAGGTGAGGGCGGCCTCCCCGCCCCGGGCCCCGGGCCCTCCCGCGCCCGCCCGGCCCTTCCCGCCACGGGCCGTCCCGCGCGGTGCCCGTGAACCGGGACCGGCGATGGCGGTGATCTTGTCGCTTCTCCATGCCGCCGCCCGGGCTTTGGGGGTTTGCTTGTAAGGTTCGTAGAAACCGGGGATGACGGTTTCGGCGGAGACGGCCCCTTGAGAGCCTAACCCAGGTGGTGCCACACTGAGGTGCCGGGCGCCCGCCCCCTGTGCCCGGCGGCCCTTCCTGTGCCCACCCTCTGCTAACCCACCCTTCTCTGAAAAAGGATAGCATCAAACTTTAGGGCTCAGAAACTTTTTCATTTGTTGAAAGTAAATGGGAATCATTTCCACTAAAATGTTTTTCACATGTACTGTATGTAGTACATGCTCTGGTGGACCCGTTCAACTCTGAAAAGTGATTTGAAACCAAAGGGGAAAGAAAACCAACTGATTATATCATTATAAATAATGGTAGTTTTCTTTTTTTCTCCTTTCCAGTTTTCATATCTTTTGTCTTAAAATTCCACTGGTTAAACACCCAGGGGCAATTGGTAAACAATAGTGGGGAGCCCTGCCAGTGTTTTCCAAACTTTTGACATATGTGTACCCCTTCTATAATTTTCGTAATGGTGAGTACCCCTCGTACTCATGAGGACGTAGCTAAGCACGGTGCAGTGCCTATCCCCCACCAAACTCCATTGCAACGTGTACACCCACCAAACACTTCCTGTACCCCTGGGGGTACGAGTACACTTTGAGAAACACTTAGAATCTAGACTAAGTTTTCATATGTGTGTTGGTTTGTTTTTTATTTTTTTCCATTGACCTGTTAAAATTAGTTTTTTGGTCCACTCCATCTGTTTTGAATAATTACCTAAGCTATATATATTTCTGAAATTTCATTGTAGATGAAAAAGAGTCTCAAATGGACGTGCAAAGCTTGTGGAGAGAAGCAGTCATTTTTACGGGTGAGTTCCAGGAGGCAGCATCTCCCCATGCGGGGGACAGGCCCAGCAGGCCAGTTCCCTCAGGAAGTGGGAGGAATGGAGCAGCGGCTTGAAAGGTACCTTCAGGTGTTGACTCACTCAGCAAGTATTTGTTGAATATCTTTTGGTGCCAGCCACAGGAAGGGCAGCGACAGGTGAGCATGTAGCCGCTCTCGCCCTCACAGATCTGCTCATGTGAAAGGAAAGAGAAACTACTAAACACACAGGCACACACACGCACACCCATGCACATGCATGTGGTTTGAAACTAGACTGGGCACAGTGCAAGGAAAGTGAGAGCGTAGGCCCACTGGCAGTGGGCAGACGGGTTGGTGGTTCTTGGTGGCAGTACGGGAGCTGGTGGGCCCAGGAAGTGGAGGTGGGCAGGATGCCAGGCTAGCGAGGGTGTGCACTGAAATGACCGCATTCTAAGTGGTTTTACCTAACCCACTTTTTCTTTTTTATTTTAGTATGTATTTTTGTGGATTTCAGAGAGGAAGGGAGAGGGGAGAGAGAGAAAGGGAGAGATACATCAATGATGAGCAAGAATCATTGACTAGCTGCCTCCTGCATGCTCCCCACGGGATTGAGCCTGCAACCCGGGCATGTGCCCTGACCAGGAATTGGATAGTGAGTGACTCAACCACTGAGCCACACCAGCTGGGCTAGCCTGGTTTTTTCAAGTCCATGTCTATTGACCCACCCAGTCTCTTCAGCACCACTAATTGCCCTGCATTCGCTCCTCACTAAGCCACATTCGCCTGCACCAGCCCCGGATGCTGCTGCTCCAGCCCCATGTCATCACTCCTTCAGCCATGGGAACTTTTCTTTCTGACTTGGAAACAATCCAGACCTGCTCCCCTCCCAGGCCTCTGTGCTCAGTTGGGGCTTCACCTAGCTCTTCTCATTATCCTGATCAGAAATTCCCTCAAAGGGCGTTCATGTGAGCATCATCCATCGAAGACCGTAAGTCCCATGAGAGCAGAGGCCTTATGCACAACTGTGTACTCTCGGCTCCCAGCACAGGGCCTGGTGCGTGGGAAGTGCTCAGTGAGTGCTTGCTGAGTGACTGAGTGACCAATCTCCCATCATGGGCATTTCCGTTGCTATTAGTTGTTATTGTTGTGGACAACTTAGCAGTGAAGCTTCTTACAAATACCTCTCTCTTCACTTGATCAATTATTTCCTTAGGGCATAATCCAGAAGCTAAATTTCTGTTTCAGAGGGCATCTTTCAACCAAGGTTTTTCAGTTGAGAAAAGGAAGGAAGGAAGGGGGGAGGGAGGGAGGAAGGGAAGGAAAGAAAGGAAGGACAGAAGGAAGGAAGGAGGGAGGGAAGGAAGGAAAACACTTATAAGGCACTTCATCCTTGACTGTTTGAGGAACATGTTCCAAGAATTGAAAAGCTGCTGACAATGCAGGCACCATCTTTCCTTCCTTCTCCCTGCCTCCTCTCCTTCCCTGCCTCTCTCTCCCACACACAGTTCACCCTCCTCTCAGACCACAGGACACTGTTTCCAGCCCGCTGGAATAGCAGAGTCCCAGTTACCAACTCCTGGGAGAAGTGATCTGCTTGGTGCTGTTGACTCAGCTGTCCCCCTCTGGGTCAGTCAGCTGGGGAAGGGTGGGGCGGGGACATCAGTCAGCTAGGGTAGGTGCTGAGGCCCACTCTGAAATGGGCCTCAGAGGCGAGGCTGGCTTAGGAGCTACAGACATCCTCAGAGTGCCTGCTGCTTGTTAGGTGTCGGCTTGTGCTTCTGAGTTCACCCTGAGGAGGCTTTGTGGTCCTCGCACCATCTCCATGCATATGCAGTGGTCTGACCTGTTGGCTAGGCCACAGTAACATAGACGCCAAAATTCAGTACAGATGGAGCCCACGCCCTAAGCCTGTTCCTTCAGGGAGAGGGATGAATGGAGCAACGACTTGAACACAGTAGAACCTTCTCTTGCTCTTATAACCGCCTTTGGAGGGGATGAGGTCAGCATTGTCACTCAGGACTACGGGCTTCGGTTGTCTTGAGGTTCTGATTCCCTGAGGCTGGCCTCCTGCTGCCTGCAGCCGCTGAGAGGGGCACGAACCTGGAGGAGCTGCCCCTCCCCCCACCCGCCCAGGCTTTCAGGGGCCAGCGTGGGAGGGCTCACATCCCACTGGAAAGAACCTTTGTCATGGCTGCACCTGACTGCAGGGAAGACTAGGAAGTGGAGTCCAGTTTGTGCCTAGATAAGGGGAAAATGCATTTCAGTGTCAGCCAGTGGTCTCTGCCATTCAGGAGAGCATACACAGTACTGGTTTTGCCAGATGTGGGTTACATTCTTTTTAAACATTGCCATTCCCCCTCCAGTTCCTCTCCTTTCATTCCCACTTGAACTTGGGCCAAAAGGGATTTCACTCTGGATTAGTCTGCTAACATGCCCATCAAAGTGTTGCTAACAACAATAGGTAGTGCTCAGTCCTCAACTGGCCTGACTGGGTGGTGGCATCTGTCAGTTTGTCACTTTCTCCTGGAAACAATGTCTTTGCTTGGGTTCTAGTCATCTTGCTCCTGGGTTTACTGTTTTCCTGGCTGTTTCTTTAAATCCTCTGCTAGTTTTTCCCAGCGCCCCAGCTTCTACGCCTCACCAAAGCCTACTTTCCCACAGTCATCCCCATCTCTTTCTTAGATTTTATTTTTTTATTATTTCTCTTTTCTTTTTAAATTACAGTTGATATTTAATGTTGTATTAATTTCAGGTATATAACGTAGTGGCTAGACATATTAAAAGGTGATCCCCCCTAATAAGTCTAGTACCCACCCGGCGTCATACAGAGTTATTAGAATACTAGAGGCCTGGTGAACGAAATTTGTGCATGGGGGCTGAGGAGGCGAGGGTCCCTCAGCCCAGCCTGCACCCTCTCCAATCTGGGATGGCCGACTGCCCGCTTAGGCCCACCGGGATCATGTTGAAACGGGCAGTTGAACATCCCTCTCACAGTCCAGGACTGCTGGCTCCCAACTACTCTCCTGCCTGCCTTCCTGATTGTCCCTAACCACTTCTGCCTGCCAGCGTGATCACCCTCTAACCACTCCCATGCCAGCCTGATTGATGTCTAACTGCTCCCCTGCCAGCCTGTTTGCCCCCAACTTTTCTCCTTTGCCGGCCTGGTCACCCTTAACTGCCCTCCCCTGCAGGCCTGGGTCTCTCCCAACTTCCCTCCCCTGCAGGCTTGGTCCCTCTTAACTGCCCTCCCTTGCAGGCCTGGCCCCTCCCAACTTCCCTCCCTGCTGGCCATCTGCATCCACATGGTGGCAGACATCTTGTGTGTTGGAGTGATGGTCAATCTTCATATTACTCTTATTAGATAGGATAGAGACTTGGTGCATGGGTGGAGGCCAACTGGTTTGCCCTGAAGAGTGTCCTGGATCAGGGTGTGGAGTGGCCTGGGCAAGGGGCCTATGGTGGTTTGCAGGCCAGCCAAACGGAGGCCCTGGTATCTGGGGTTTATTTGTCTTCTACAATTGAAACTTTGTAGCCTGAAGCAGAGCCAAGCCTCCTGCTTGCTCTGTGGAGGCAGCCACTTTTTTAAAATATATTTTATTGATTTATTACAGAGAGGAAGGGAGAGGGATAGAGAGTTAGAAACATCGATGAGAAAGAAACATCAATCAGCTGCCTCCTGCACACCTCCTACTGGGGATGTGCCCGCAACCAAGTACATGCCCTTGATTGGAATCGAACCTGGGACCCTTCAGTCCGCAGGCCGACACTCTATCCACTGAGCCAAGGTTTCAGCGAGGCAGTCATTTCTGTTGGAATTTATGTATCTTCTACAATTGAAACTTTGCAGCCTATAGTGAAGGCCTGAGCCAGCCAGGGCTGCAGAAGCTTGGCTTCCTCCATCGCCCAGGGAAACCCTAGCCTCCTGCTCTTTTGGCTCAGTGGCTGCCGCCACTTCTGTTGGAATTTATTTACCTTCTATAATTGAAACTTTGTACCCTTGAGTGGAGGCCTTAGCAGGCCAAAGTATGCGGAAAGCTTGGCTTCCTCCATTGCCTGGGAAACCCAAGCCTCCCTCCTGCTCTCTGTGGCTGCAGCCATCTTGGTTGTGGTTAATTTGCATACTCGCTCTGATTGGCTGGTGGGCATGACTTGTGGGTGTAGCGGAGTGGTGATTAATTTGCATATTACTCTTTTATTAGATGGGAGGATTATTGACTAGGCTGTGCTTTATATCCCTGTGACTGTTTTGTAGCATCCAATTTTACTTAATCCCTTCACCTTTTTCAACCCTCTCTCAAACCCCCTTCCGTCTGGCAACTATCAGTTTGTTCTCTGTATCTATGAGTTTGTTTCTGTTTTGTTTGTTCATTTATTTTGTTTTCTTTGATTTGACATAGAAGTGAAATCATATATATTTGTCTTTCTCTGTCTGACCTGACCATTTCACTGAGCACAATATCATCTAGGTCCATCCATGTCTTTGCACATAAAAGGTGTTCAATAAACATGTATTGAACAAAGGACTGACTGCTAAATGAAAAAGAAGTATCATTTTAATTGGTATTCCTTTGATTCTCAGTGAGGGGAATCATTTCATGTTTATCGGCAACTTGTGTAACTTCTCTTATGTTCATTAACCATCTTGTGTGGGGTTTGGGATCGAGTTCAGTTTGGCTATGTAAGTTTGGGGTACTAGTGAGCAGCCACATAGACTGAAACTATTTGTTGCCTGAGACTGTGGGTTTGTAAATCACTCCAGGGCCCAGCTACAATATTTTAAATGCACTGATGAGATGACAAGAAAGTGAATAACTATCATGGGTCAAAAATGAAGCAAAAGTCAAATTCCAGAATAAGCAGTCAGTCACTGATTTCTGCATAGAGCTTCAGACATGTGGGGGTACAGCTTTTCCCCCTAAGGTGCCTCTCAGTCCTGTCAACACTTTTTAAAATTAATATTTTTGTGTGTCTGTTTGTTTCTCAGGCTTACGGTGAGGGCTCTGGTGCTGACTGTAGGCGTCATGTCCAAAAATTAAACCTGCTGCAGGGCCAGCTCTCGGAGGTGTCACCCAGGTAGGTGGTTTGAGGGCGTGGCTGTCTTGCCCTGTTTTCCCTGGAGTGGCTCATGGAGATCTGTGTGGAGAAATCCCTGAGATTTCAGTCTTCCGATGCATCATTAGACACCCCGCACAATCTTCCCGCTGAAAACAAATCAGTTTGGAGACCAGGCGCTTTCAGCATGGCATGGCCTAACATGCTGCTGCAGGCGTTTTTAAATCCAGCTGCCTTTTTTTAAATCCTCATCCAAGGCTATGTTTATTGGTTTTAGAGAAAGAGGAAGGGAGAGAGAAACATTGATTGGTTGCCTCACATACACACCCCAACCGGGATCAGACCTGAAATCTGGGTACGTGCCCAATCTACGAATCAAACCCACAACCTTTCAGTGTTTGGAATGACATTCTAACCATCTGAGCCACCTGGTAGGACCCAGAGATAATTTTTTTTTCCCAGTGATAATATTTTAAATGCACTGATGAGATGACCAGAAAGTAAAAAACTATCGGAGGTCAAAAAGGAACCAAAAGCCACCGAAACCAGTTTGGCTCAGTGGATAGAGCATCGGTCTGTGGACTGAAAGGTCCCGGGTTCGATTCCAGTCAAGGGCATGTACATTGGTTGTGGGCACATCCCCGGTAGGGGGTGTGCAGGAGGCAGCTGGTCGATGTTTCTCTCTCATCGACATTTCTAACTCTCTATCCCTCTCCCTTCCTCTCTGTGGAAAATCAATAAAATATATTTTTTTAAAAAAGGAACCAAAAGCCGAGTTCCAGAGAATAAGCCCCTGGCTGTAAGTCAATGGGAGTCCGCAGCCCTGGGGCACCCATGAGAGGCTGGGGTGTCCAGAAAACAGAGTCTACTGCTCGCTCTGTGGGAGGTCCGCAGGACACCACCACATAAAGCTGCGTCCCCCAAACCTACACCCTCAGCATCATAACTAGAAATGCACTCCGCTGCAGCAGAAGCCCGCCTGGGTTGGCCTTGGCACTGGCCGAAGAGGGCGTATTGCTCCGGGATTTTATAAGCACGGGAAGCTGCCACATGTCTTTTCAGCCTTTTCCATGTGTGAAAAGCCTCAAGCTGAGATTTTATTTTCAAACTGTCCCAGGAAGCAGAGGTAAATGCAGCTCCCCTCTGGAGCGACACATTTCAATCCTCTCAGCATTCCAAGGAGTATGTACTCACAGTCTTTAAACACTCAAGGAAGCATGTCCTCTGAGCAAAAAAAAAAAAAAAAAAAAAAAAGCAAAGCGAAAGACAGACTTCAGAATTTATAATGTAAGTTTACTCTATTTCATTAAATAAAAGGGAAGGTTGGTGATAGGAGCAAGAATCTTTAAGAATAATTTAGTTGTTTTGAAAAGAGAACCAAAAGTAGTTTGTAGAAATGGAAAGTACAGTCATTGAAACTAAAATTATAATAGAAAAGTTAAATAGATTAAGTGCAGCTGAAGACAGAAATGGAAGATAAAACCGAAGAAATTATTCAAGAAGATAAAAAGGTGAAATATATGAGTTGAGAGCCACAGAGGATACAGAGAAGAGTTATTGTAAGAATAAAAAAATTGGGCAAAGGTAATATTTGCAGAGAGAAGAGCCATTTTCTAGAATCAAAGGTATTCATTAGATCCAGGAAACAGTAAATCCCAAACTGGAACAAGACATTGTGGATGTAGGAAATGCTAATGGACCTATACAACAGCTACTAGAGCTAAGTTAATTTAGCAAAATCACAAGGACACAGCGTCAACATAAAACTGCAACAAAATTTAATCTTATACAAATGCAGTAAACCATTGGAAAATTATTGTTAAGATCAAATAATATAATAGCATCAATAATGAAATACTTACATATAGACATAATAAATGTCAATAAAAACTATAAAACATGGCTAAGAGAAATAAAAGAGGATCTAAATTAACGAAAGATGTAATATGTTCATTGATTGGAAAATTCAATATCATTAAGAGGAAAGTTCATCCTAAATTGATCTTAGAGAAAACCTAATCTCAATCAAAATTCAAGCAACCTTTGTTTTTTTGTAGAAATTGACAAACTAATCTTAAAATTTATATATATCTGCACAAGACCTAGAATTGCTGAAACAGATTTGATAGGAAGATTGTTGGAATATTAATACTTCTACAACCTGATTTCAAGATTTACTATAACAAGAATCAAGATATTGGTGAAGGGCTAGACACACAGATACCTCAGAAGGTGAATGAGTAAACGTTGTAGTATATTCATTACAGTGGAATACTGCTCGGCAACAACTTGGGCAAATCCCAAAACACTGAGAAGTGAAAGAAGCCAGACACAAAGACCACATACTGTGGGGTCAGCCATTTTCTGAGGAGGGGATTGCCTGCAAAGTCAGAAGGGAACTTTATTGGATGATGAAAATCTTATTTATTTTTTTAATATATTTTAATTGATTTCAGAAAGGAAGGGAGAGAGAGAATAATGAGAGAGAACCATTGATTGGCCACCTGCACGCCCCACAATGGGAATCAAGCCTGCAACCCGGGCATGTGCCCTTGACTGGAATCAAACCCAGGATCCTACAGTCCATAGGCTGACTCAATCCACTGAGCGAAATCTGGTAGGGCGGGTGATGAAAATTTTCTTGCCGAAGCCGGTTTGGCTCAGTGGTAGAGCGTCGGTCTGCGGACTGAAAGGTCCTAGGTTCGATTCCGGTCAAGGGCATGCGCATTGGTTGCGGGCACATCCCCGGTTGGGGGTGTGCAGGAGGCAGCTGGTCAATGTTTCTCATTGACGTTTCTAGCTCTCTATCTCCCTCCCTTCCTCTCTGTGAAAAATCAATAAAATGTATTTAAAAAAAAACAACAAAAAACATTTTCTATGCCTTGTCAATTATATCTTAATAAAGTTTTTTTTTCAATATCTTGATTGGGGTGATAGTTTCAAAGGTATACTTTCTCAAAACTTAGTAACTGTACACAGAAATGGGTACATTTTAGTGTATATTAATTGTCCTATATAATAAAAGAGTAATATGCAAATTGACTGTCACTCCAACACAAGATGGCTGCCACAAGATGGCCAGCAGAGGAGGGCAATTGGAAGGGATCAGCCAAGCAGGGGAGGACAGTTGTGAGCAATCAGGCCAGCAGGGGAGGGCAGTTGGGTGGGACCAGGCCTGCAGGGGAGGGCAGTTGGGAGAGACCAGGCCTGCAAAAGGAGGGCAGTTCTGGGTGATCAAGCCTGCAGGGAAGGCCAGTTAGGGGTGATCAGGCTGGCAGAGAAGGGAAATTGGTGGGGACCCAGGCCTGCAGGGGAGAGCAGTTGTGGGGGACCAGGTCTGCAGGGGAGAGCAGTTGTGGGGGACCAGGCCTGCAGGGGAGAGCAGTTGGGGGGGACCAGGCCTGCAGGGGAGCAGTTGGGGAGGACCAGGCCTGCAGGGGAGAGCAGTTGTGGGGGACCAGGCCTGCAGGGGAAAGCAGTTGGGGGTGTCCAGGCCTGCAGGGGAGAGCACTTAGGGGTATCCAGGCCTTCAGGGAAGGGCAGTTAGGGTTGACCAGGCCAGCAGGGGAGGGAAGTTAGGGGCAATCAGGCTGGCAGGGGAGCAGTTAGGCATTAATCAGGCTGGCAGGGGAGTAGTTAGGGGGTGATCAGGCTGGCGGGCAGAAGCGGTTAGAGGCAATCAGGAAGGCAGGCAGGAGAGCAGTTGGGAGCCAGTAGTCCTGGATTGCTAGATGTCCCAGATTGGAGAGGGTGCAGGCTGGGCTGAGGGACACACCCTGTGCATGAATTTGGTATACCAGACCTCTATACATTAATTAGGTAATTTTAAAAGTTAAGGAAAAACGTGTCCTTAGACACAACATAATAAAATTGGAGAACACAGAAGACAAAAGGAAGTGCTGGAAAGCAGCTGAAGAAAAACAAAATCACCTATAAAGGAGCACTAGGCGCCCAAGTTCTCAGTGGTAACACTGGAAGCAAGAAGACAGGCCAGCCGAAACCGGTTTGGCTCAGTGGATAAAGCGTCAGCCTGCAGACTGAAGGGTCCTGGGTTCGATTCCGGTCAAGGGCACGTATCTTGGTTGCGGGCACATACCCAGTAGGGGGTGTGCAAGAGGCAGCTGACTGATGACACTCTCTCATCAGTGTTTCTAACTATCTCTTCCTCTGTAAAAAATCAATAAAATATATATTTTCAAAGAAGACAGGCCAGAATCCTTGGACTGCTGAGCACTGTCCTTTAGTTGATGAAGTTGTGTTCTGGAATCATAGGAAGGTGAGCAGAGTTTTGGTTGACAGCTGGCAGGAACCGCTCAAGGGAAGGCTGGCGTAGCGACTGTGCACAGCAGGAGTTCCATGCCTCATCTCATTTCATAATCACCCTGAGGGTCATCGGCTTCTTTTTACAGATGAAAAATATGAAGTAGAGGTGCCCTCACTTGGTAGAGTTTGTGGTCCTCGAAGTTCCCTAGAGAGTTCCGATCCAGTCGTACAACAGCCTGTCTGACATGGATGGCTGTGCCTCCTGCCCTCGTACAGTCACGGTTGCCACTGGACAGCAGCCCCACTCAAGGCTCCTCCCTCCTCTGTGAGAGGCCTGTGTGCCGGGAGGTCTTCTGCGGCCCGTTGAGCCTTCCCTGTGGAGTGGCTGAGGTCACACGGTGGTGCACTCTCCTGCCCATGTGAGGGGCACGTCTCCATTGCGGGGGAGGGACTCTGTGCCACAGGAGTTCCGAGGACATTGGTCTCCATGGCCCAGGCCCTGGGCGGGCATGTGCATACATGCTTCATTTATCTTCACAGTCACCTGTGCAATGTTACCCCGTTTTGGATGAGCAAACAGTAATGAACCCAAAGTCACACCATGATAATGACAGCCAGTCATTGGCAAAGCCAGGATGCAAACTGGTCTCTGGGTTAAGTGTCGCCCCCTCTATGTCACTTTTCCTGCTGATGGTGGGCTCAGCCAGCCTACCTCCAGGAAGAAGTGGTCCTTTTACTCGGGCCTTGTGAACTGCTAGGAGGTGACTGAGTCACACTACGGTCCTCGAAGTCTGGGCCTCCTTGTCGGGTCCTTGCATCTTCCTGTCCTTCAGCTTCCTGTCATCTTACACGGGTATCTGCACTATCTTTCCCTAAGGTCTCTGCGAGAACCCCTAAACGCTGACGAGGAAAACACGGAAAATGCGGGTCCTGTGTGGGCTGAGCATGTGCGTCTGCAGGTAAGCCAGCAGCGCCTGGGGTTCCTTTTCTCTATTCCTCAGTCACTTGTTCTGTAAATGCCTGTTGATGCAACTGAATGGCAGGCACTTGGCTTAAAGCTACAGGGAACATAAAATGAATAAACGTGCCTCCTTTGTAAGGGAGATCCCGCTCTGTATACAAATAATCACAACACTCTCTCCTCTGCTTGAAGAGCTCTTCTGAACTTAGCTTGAACTTCACCCCCTGTGCCTCTCCCCGCCCCACATCCCTCATGCTCGGGGCACACTGGGGAGAGAAAGGACAGGATGCTGTGGTGAAGAACCTGAGGTTCTGAGTTCCTGCTCTCCAGCCTGAGCTCTCAGCGGGGCTCACATCCTGTTCTGTCCGGTGCCTATAAAATAGGTGCTCAAATGGGTGAGCTTGAGTGATGGATAGGGTGATGCCATGATATAGCCAAGGTGCCATGGTAGGTGGAGTGCTGTGTCCTGTCAAGGACAGGAGTGGGGGCAGCTGTCACACAGACAAACTCCCTGACTACCTATGGACAGAACCCTGCCTCTGCTCACGGAATCGCCTGGCAACATGCTCTCCCCACAAGATTCTGACAATTTTATCATAAACAGAGAAACCAGCCTTGAACACACCACTTCAGCACAGCAGTTCTTGCACTTTTGGGTCTCCATTTCCAGTTTTGTCCACTTGGCCTTAATTTTATATCATTCATATCATAACATTGTTTGCATCCTGGAGTTTTCACTTGTCATTCTATGTTGCTATAATTTTAAGTGCTTTTCATTTTTAAAAAGTTACCTATAGGAGATAATGGATGTGCCAATATTTATTCCTTTATTGGGCATTTGGGTTGCTTCCAAGCTTTCACTGGTATAAGTGCAGCTCCTGGGCCAGGGAGCATGGAGCTCGCCAAGGTCTTGCTGCGTGGTGCCTTGCAGCTTCTGATGTGTGTGTTGCTGTGCACTGTCCCCAGTGGTGTCCCCGCATGGGTACCTGTACCAGCTCACTTGGTGCGGATCACCTAGACTGCCCTCGTTCAGGGAAGAATTGGCTTCATGAGCATGGATAGAAACCAAGATGGCAGCATAAGGTAAACACCTAAATGTAGCCTACCACAACAATTTAAAAACTGCAACTGGAAAACAGAGCAGACGTCGTCCAGAACCACCAGAAAGCTGGCTGAGTGGAGGATCTACAAGTAGGAAAAAAAAAGAGGGAGGAACGCTGAGCCTCAGGAGCTGTGGAGGTGCGGAGATCCGCGAGCGTGGAAAGGGCGGGCGGCTTGCTTGCGGTGTGAGGAGAGGGTGGGCAGGAAACTCTCAGCTAGCTTCCTCGTTCGGGAGGAAAACAAAACCTCCTGATTGCACTGAGGTCCAGCTCCAGTCAGGGGGAGTGTTAGACTGTCGGGCAGCAGCCCTCCCTCTCTCTGAGGTGTGTGTGGCCAGCAGCCATAGCCGCGGGACTCAGAGAACAGGACCCTCTTGGGGTTGGGGAGGCTGTTGGGAAACCAAAGCTTGTCTGCACCACCCTGAGACTCCGCCCCATCCAAGCTGAGCATAAGCACAGAAGCCCTCCTAGTGGAGACACTGCTGATCCTCATAGCCAATTGGCTTGGAGATCAACTCTCCCCAGTAATACCAACAACAAGCAAGGCTTAATTACAACAAGCTGCACATACAGCCCACAAAGGGCTGCACCAAGAGGGTCTACCACAGGTAACTGGGGAGGCTGAGCTACTGGGCCCTGCTAGGACACCTTACAAACAAAGCAACTCCATTAACTCAGGGAAGCAGCTAAAATGCAGAGACAAAGAGGCAGGCCTCAACTGAAGGAAATGGAGGAAAGCAAAAGACTGGATATAGAGTTCAAAACCACAGTTATAAGGTTCTTCAAGAATTTCCTAGAAAAGACCGATAAATTAAATGAGATCCTCGAGGATATGAAAAAGGGATCAACTAGAAATTAAGCATACACTGACTGAATAAAAAATATTATACAGATACCTAAAAGCAGACTAGAGAATTACAAGAACCAAGATTTTTTTTTGTTGTTGTTGTTGCAAATTCAAAGATTTTGAATACCAAGAAGCAAAAAACACTCCTCCAGAAAAGCAAAAAGCAAAAACAATACAAAAAGTTGAAGAGAGTCTAAGAAGCCTCTAGGACATCCTCAAGCATACAACATAAGAATTATGGGTGTCCCAGAAAAAAAGAGAGGGGAAGATACTGAAAACCTATTGGAAGAAATAGTGATAGAAAACTTCCCCCACCTGGTGAAAGAAATACACTTACAAATCCAGGAAGCACACAGAACCCCAAACAAAAGGAATCTAAAGAGGACCACACCAAGACACATCATAATTAAAATTCCAAGAGTAAAAGACAAAGAGAGAATATTAAAAGCAGCAAGAGAAAAGCAGTTAGTTGCCTATAAGGGAGCACCCATAGGATTGTCAGCTGATTTCTCAACAGAAACTATGCAGGCCAGATGGGAGTGGCAAGAAATATTCAAAGTGATGAATAGCAAGAACCTACAACCAAGATTACTCTACCCAGCAAAGCTATCATTCAGAATTGATGTCCAGATAAAGAGCTTCACAGATAAAAAGAAGCTGAAGGAGTTCATCGCCGCCAAACCAGAATTATATGAAATGCTGAAAGGTATTCTTTTTTTAAAATATATATATTGATTTTTTTTTTTTACAGAGAGGGAGAGGGATAGAGCTAGAATTATCGATGAGAGAGAAACAGCTGCCTCCTGCACACCCCCTATCAGGGATGTGCCCGCAACCAATGTACATGCCCTTGACCAGAATCGAACCTGGAACCCTTCAGTCCGCAGACTGATGTTCTATCCACTAAGCCAAAATGGTTTCGGCTGAAAAGTATTCTTTAAGAAGAGAAAGATAAAAATTATGAACAACAAATACGTAACTATCAACAAGTGAATCTAAAAACCAAGGGAGTAAAAAATCTGATGAACAGTATTAACTGGTGAATATGAGAGAATCAGGGGCATAGAATGGGAGTGAACTGACAATTCTCGGGGGAAAAGTGTGGGGGGGTGTGGGAAGAGACTGAACAAAAATCGTACACCTATGGATGAGGACAGAGTGGGGGGGGGGGCGGGTGAGGGCAGCGAGGCGGGGGGAAACCTGGTGGAAGGGAGCTATAGAGGGAAAAGAGAGGAACAATTGTAATAATCTGAACGATAAAGATTTATTAAATTAAAAAGAATTGGCTTCATGAGCAGAGCTGGCAATGTAAGTATGGCCAGAGCAGCTGACAGGCCTATAGCTTCTGCCGAGAGTGGGACAGACCTGCTGTGTGCAGGTTTCTTCCCCAGGCAGCATGTGTTCTGAGCGGGGTCCCTCTAGACCCAGGTGCATCTTACTGGGCTACTGGGCGGGTGCTACTGGGAGGTAGATTTCAGGTCAAAATAAGAACTTTGTAACAATAAGAAGCGGGAGCAGAAAAACAGCTGCCTGGGCCGTTACTGGGCATGTTACTGGCTGTGGGGCGGAGCTCAGCAGGCCCCAAGGAAGCTCTGCTGGATGACAGGTTCCTCAAACTCATGGTGATAGGATGTGTTCTCCTTTTAAAGCATAATGTTGTGTGTTTAAATATTTTTATTGATTTTTTAGAGAGAGAGAGAGAGAGAGAGAGGAACATCGATGGGCTGCCTCCTGCACACTGCCTACTGAGGATAGAGCCCACAACCCTCAAGTGTGCCCTGACCAGGATTCGAACGAGCAAACCTGTCAGTGCACAACACCCAACCAACTGAGCCACAGAGGCCAGGGCAGGACTGGATTATTTTCTTTTTTAAATATATTTATATTAAATTCAGAGAGGAAGGGAAAGAAAAACATCAATGATAAGTCATTGATGGGCTGCCTTCTACATGCCCCCTATTGGGGATTGAGCTGGCAACCGGCACATGTGCCCTGATGGGAATCGAATCAACCTCCTGGTTCATAAGGTGACTTTCAACCACTGAACCACACCGGCCCAGCAGGACTGCATTCATTTTTGTTTTGATAATCCTCACCCAAGGGTATTTCTCCATTGATTTTTAGGGAGAGTGGGAGAGAGAGAGAATGACAGAGAGAAGCGTCGATGTGAGGAGAAACACATTGATTGGTTGCTTCCTGCACATGCCCTGATTATGGTCCAGGCCTCGGAGGAGTCATTATCAGGGAGGTATGTGCCCTTGACCGGAATTGAACCCAGGACCCTTCAATCCGCAGGCCGATGCTCTATCCAGGCAGGACTGGATTCTTGATAGCACTTCCCCTGCCAGGAGATGGAGCCAGAGCACTGTGTCCCCCATGCAGCCCCAATGGCCAGGTCTAGGGGGACTCTGAGGTCATGTTAGGTACCCAGGTCACTGATGGAGGCCATTTCCTCTTCTGGTCCCAGTGACTATTTTAATGGTCATGCTTTGTCTCTGTCTGAAGCACCTCCTCCCTCCGGCCTGTGCGCTTCCCTGCCATGCTCATCCTCAGTGTGACCTCCTGGTCAAGGACATTTTGATGCCTGAGAGGCAGTCGAGGTTGACCAGCAGGGCTTTTCTGAGGACCGTTCTCGGTTCTGCGTGGAGTCCCTTCAGCGGACTGTCCACGCCCTGCCCTGGGCCTCCCCTTCATGAACACAGGTGTGCTCTTGTGCACCGATGCACCCTCCCCCCAGGACCTGCTCTCATTCCTGAAGCTGCAAACCTAGCACTCACGGCCTCAGAAAGCAGGTTATGAGAGCCACGGGGGCCCAGGCAGAGAAACTGCTGGGCATCTGGCGTGGCCACCCCAGCATGGACCAAGGCTGGCGCAGAGCACGGGCTCAAAGCCTAGAGACAGAGGCCAAACTGGTGCTGCCACTCACTGGCTGTGTGGCCCTGATCTCCAAATTATAGACTGCTGTTCTGGCAGTTGCTCATGTGGCCGCCCCTGGGCTAAACATGTTAACAGAGTTGTTTATTGCTCACCACAAGCCTGTGGCTAGTGAAGGCTCTGTGAGTGAGTGACTGCAAGTCGGGCAGGGCGGGCAGCGAGCAGACCCACCTCCTCAGTACTGCCTGTCGTGGTGGAACTCGCTTGGCATGAGTCTGGTCCCTGAGGGAAGGGAGGCCAGGCCCCAGCACCACCAGAAATGCGCTCTGAGCAGCCACTCCCACATCTTCAGCCCCCTCAGCACAGTTCTGGTTCTGGGCCTTCCTGTCTGCCTAGCCAGGAGCAGGCCGGATGGAGTCCATCGCTTTGCACACGGCTCCCAGGTCTCTCCCCACTCACCCCTCCTCTCAGGCAGCCCCCTTCCTGATCCTAAGGTGCCCATGAGATGAGAGTCTGATCACCTGGCTTCCTTTTGGGGAAGCCTGGTCACGGAATTTGGCAGAGGACTTGGAGTGCAGTCAAGGGCATTTACTCGCTGTGCCAATCCCCAGAATCAAAGGCTGTCCCTAGGCTGCAGCTAGAAGACGGCACAGAGCAGAACGGCCAGAAGCCGGAGACAAGAAGCGGCAGTGCACGCTCAGGGTCCTTGCTCTTCCTGCCCAATCCTGCCAGACCACTGGCCCGCGCTCTGAACGGAGGACGCAGCCTCCCCTGCTTTTGTCTCCGCTGCAGGACCACGCTGGCCCGGCAGGGACGGCCGGAGAAGGAAGCCGTCGAGAGGACGGGGACGCCGGGCAGCTCCCCGGCCCTTGGAGGGAACCACTACGTCCTGCCCAGCAGGTCAGGGCCGCGTCTAAGTGGGAACGATTTCTTCTGCCGCTTGGAACCTCACATGTGGATACAGCACCCCAGACACCCCTGCAGAGGGACCCCAGGCCAGCTGGGGCAGCACAGGCTGAGCAGGGGTCCCCCAGAGCTCAAACTGCAGAAGTTGGGGGCCTCAGCAGGACACCCAGTCTGCCCCAGCTTCCTTGGGCCACACACACTGCTACGTCTAGGCCCAGGAGGCCCTTGGGGGAGGCCCCTGAGCAGTGGGGTACAGGCCCTCAGGCAGAGGGTGGGCCCTTGGTCAAAGGGGCACAGGAGGCCCGAATGGTGCGACTCTGTGACCTCTTTAACACTGGTGAGGACTTTGATGACGCTCTGTGAGCTGGGACCAGTGTGCTGTGCAGATGTGTTAAGTACCTGAGCCCTCCTCCCTTAGACCTGTCACTCAAACAGGGTTCCCCGAGGGGCTTTTCATTAGGGCTGGGAGGATTTATGGGAACTAAGAACCGACAATAAACATGACTTTCAAACAGATCATCTCTTATTGCGACATCTTGGATTAAAAGTGCTTACACCATTTAATTGCAGTTGGTTTACAGATATGCTCACAGAATGACTACAAAGGATCTTACTTTAAAAGCAGGTGACACATTTGGAAATGAGAGCTACAATGGTTGAGACAGGCAGTGCTCGGTGACCACCCTGGGTGCCTGCCAGCCCCGCCTGTGCCCTGAGGGGGCCTGCCCTCCCGTACTTGCTGCAGGACAACCTCCTGTTCCAGCTGAACTCTGAGGAAATCAGCTACACATCAGTTACTATTAGTCACTTAAAAAAAGAAAGAGCAGCCCTTAGGTAAGATGGATTCTGGGCTGTTGGGGATATCCTGGCGGGTAGAGAGCAGGGAGATGGGAGGAGACCCCCGGCCCACCCTGGTTGCACCCCACTTCCTCTCTCCCCTTTAGTCACAGGCTGGGAACTCCCTCCTGTCCTTGCCCTACTGCCCTAAATGGCTTCATGCATCCCACCCCGGTTCTGAAAGAAAAATGCAGAGTAACTGGCCCTTAGAGACATGGGGTTCTAGCAAGCTCTACACACTGAGACCAGAAAGGGGTCAGGTGACGGAGAACAGCTGTCACAAGGGCGGTGGGTGCTTTGAATACTGGATGGTATCCAAGGCAGCCCCAATGTCGTAATTCTTGGTCTGTAGGAGTCTGGTGAGCCAGCCGCCTTCATCAGAGAACCCCATGGACAGCATCTGGGAGAGGGACTCAATGAGCCGGGGGTCAGCTTCTGCCGGAGAGAAGAGTAAAAGCCATGAGGGGGAGTCACTGGGCCCGAGTGTGACCCGCAGGCAGCAACAGCTCATCCATCCAGCAAGTGCCAGTGCCTGCAGGGCCTGGCCCTCCCTCGGGCACTCTGGCCCTCAAGCACACTCCAAGCCAGGGATGGGCAAGCTTTCCAGCTGCTTTGCAGGCTGCTGGTCAACCTCGCCATTCTGCCCTTACAGCATAAAGGCAGCCAGACAGTATCTAAACAAATGAGTGCTGTGTTCAAATAAATTTGTATTTACGGACACTGAAATGAGAATTTCATCTGATTTTCATAGGTCTTGACTTTTTAACAAGGGAGGGAAATAGGCTAAAAGTGAGGCCTCATTTTTTTAAAATTGAGTTTGAGAGAGGAAGAGAGAAACATGGATTAGCTGCCTCCTGCACCCCTCCCACCTGGGATTGGGGTGTCCGGGCCAGAAGTGAACTGGCAACTCTGCTGCATGGGATGACACCCAGCCAACCGAGCCACACTGACCAGGGCCAGGTCTTTTTCTTTTTTTAATTGATTTCAGAGAGGAAGGGAGAAGGGGAGAGAGAAACACCAATGATGAGGGAGAATCACTGACCGGCTGCCTCCTGCACGCCCCCCACTGGGGATTGAGCCCACAATCTGGGCATGTGCCCTTGACTGCGTTTGGACCCAGGATCTCAGTCCACAGGCTGATGCTCTATCCATTGAGCAAAACCAGCCAGGCTTTGGCCACAGGTGTTAACTTCTTAGACAGCTATTATAAAGATGAGAAAGGTGCCCTGGCCGGTGGCTCAGCTGACTGGAGTGTCATCCTGTGCATCAAAAAGGCTGCAGCTGAAACCGGTTTGGCTCAGTGGATAGAGTGTCGGTCTGCAGACTGAAAGGTCACAGGTTCGATTTAGGTCAAGAGCATGTACGTTGGTTGTGGGCACATCCCTGGTATGGGTGTGCAGGAGGCAGCTGATCGGATGTTTCTAGCTCTCTCCCTTCCTCCCTGTAAAAAATCAATAAAATATGTATTTTTTAAAAGGCTGCAGGCTTGAGTCCTGTCAGGGCACATACATACCTAGATTGCAGGTTCGAGCCCCAGATTTTTAAAAAAATCATTCTTGGCTCATAGGCTGTAGTTTGTCTCCTCTGCTCTAGGCAGACACAGACACCAGACCGGGCCCAAGGACCACGGCAGGCCCCAGGGTTTTCTCTCAAGTATTTTCTCAACACTGCCACGTGACAGCGATGAACCGAGCAGACGGGCTGCTCCTACTCAGCCCCTACTCAGCGTGTGCTCTCCGGCTACCGCGTCCCCACCTCCCCCTGCGGCCCTCTGCCTGCTCCTACAGGAGCTGGAATGGGCCCTGTTGGGTGGGCACCTCCATTAGGAAACTGAGGGCAGACTCAGAGTCCTCTTAGTGGCACAGGGCAGTGCCAAAGCCAGGACCACCGCTACGTCACAGCTGCCTTCATAAATGCAGGTTTGCTGTCATGTTTCAGAAGTTACCAAAAGTAGCTGGGCTTATAAGGGGCTCAATATAGACACAAGAGGACATTATCAATTCCTGATTTCCTCTCATGTCAGCAGACAGCCCCACAGTAGAGAACAGAACGACTTTCTGTGTTGCTAGACAGGCGGTAGGATCTCTGAATAAGAAAGGTAAATACAACACTGCTGCAGTCACTTGCCTGGCGGCAGATGTGGGTACACGGCGGCTTCCTTCAGCCCTGTGGGTCCCTCCTGGGAAGGGTCCAGAGAGCTTGGCCCTTCAGACTCGGGCATCTGTAGAGACTGGAGTTCGCCTGTCGATGGGTCCACTTCCTTTGAAGATAAATGAGTCCAGTCATCGTCTCCTCCCGAGCAGTTGTCAGACTCCATCTGCTCCTGGAACAAAACCCCATGAGCACAGGCCCTCGCAGCCACCCAGCCCCGGCCCTGGGGTGTGTGGGGCAGACAGGCTGGCAAGCAGCTAGAGGAGTATTTTTCTTTACCAAGTCCCAGAGAAGGGGTCACTGAACCACTGAGTGCCAGGCTTAACTCTGTGCTGGAACTGGGCCCTGGCTGTTGGTGCTGGGAGGGGCCATGGGGGGTGTTTGGGGGAGGCAGGAGGAGCTTGCCTCGGGCTGCACACCCGACTGCAGCGTGATCTTGTTCATTTGCTTCGCCAGAGCCTGTGCAGCTCCCTCCATGGCGTCGTCCGGTTTGCTGGAGTCAGAAGAGCAGCTTCCTGGCTGAGAGCTGCACCGCTCCTCCGCACCGGGGCTGCCTGGAGAGACGGGCGTCAGGCGGCTTCTCTTCCCTCCATGCTCCACGTCAATGTCCACCTCGATGCCTAGAAGCCAAGGAGGAAACAAGGCCCCAAGTCCTCAGAGGGCGAACTGCCGCTTACAAAGCGCTCACATCCAGCCCGGAATCGGGAAGGTCAGGATGCTGGCATCCACTCTGGACCTGAGCCACGCTGCCACAGGACGGCTCAGGTGGCAGCCGGTCAGCAAGAGGGCAAGTGGATGGTTATCTCTGACCTCCACGATCCCAAGGGCTAAACCCCCCAAACCCTGGCCCAAACCTTCCTGGCTTCTAGGAACTCACTGCACCTCTTCCTCCAGCACAGCAGGATATTAACTGACACCCGGGTCAGTTCCAGAGCCAGGAAGTCCAGAAAGAGACCCTGCTTTCCCCTCACCAGGCAGGACAGATCTGCACAGAGGGCCAGGAACCGGGAGAGCCAAAGACCACTGTGGCCAGATGCCCTCTGGTGCTGAGGGCACAGGAGCTCCGTGTGTATGCAGGGCAGTGATGTGAAACCACTGCAGGCAGCACTGGAATTCTGCTTGGCAGGGGACACTCTGCAGGCTGTATGCGGTTGGTGTAGCACCGCTGTCATTCTTTCAGACACTGGGTACAGCCCGGGACAGACACTTTCTGCCACTGCTGGCACAAAGGAGCTCCCTCCTCGTGTGAGGGCATGGGTCTGTGGTCATCTTGAACCAGAAGTCACCGTAACCATTCTCACTGCCAGGAGGCCCAGCCCCGAGCACCCACCCAGCCTAGCAGACACGCAGGGGTGCTTTCAGAGACCACACCTGTCACTAACCCAGAGACCTGCCCTGAACCTGGTGTCAGGCAGAGCCCCTTCCGCCGTCCTCTACCACTCCCGGCTCCGGCACTGGCATCGGCCCTGCCCTCACGAAGCACCGGGAAAGCTTGGGGTTGCAAAAGAGGGGGAGAAAAGAGAAAAGGCATCTAAACTGACTAACCCCAAGCTCACATGAGGAGGAAATGCGGCTGTTCTCCCCAAGGACAAGGCAGGCAGAAGTCGGCAGGCAGCCCTGCAACTGAGCCGGTCAGCCTCCCTCTGGGATCATTCCAGCAAGCCCTGGCTGACCCTCCTGCACTCGGGCAAGCTCAAGAATCCGCTGGGAATCCAACCTTGAGCAGCCTGTGGTACGGCGCTTGGCAAAGGTTGAGTGGAGGCCACCAAGCCTTACTAGCCACGTGGGTGTTCCCATTCCTCAGCAGTGTCTCCGCTGAAAGCTGCAGCCACTCCCACGCTGAGCTGCCAACCCAAGGATGCCAGGCCCACACTTACCTAGGGGGCTGAGGGCGGCTGCCACGCTCTCCCCCACGTTCTTGAGGAAATTCACACTGGGATCCTCCGATGGACCAGAAGCTTTGGTTTTTAAAATATAAAAACGGTATGTTTAATTCCAAATGCATTTCTCAATGACCTTGTACCTATTGCAGTGCCATCACCTTCCTCCTGCACACTCCCCATCCTGGGGCCTTTCCTGGCAGCCTGCAACCCCATTCCCTTCCCCAGGCCACCTCCTGGGCCCCTTCACCCCCCTCTATCTGACTTTGGTGATTGGAACCCCAAGAGGGGCTCAATATGCACATTATAAAAATACCAATCGCATCCTGGATATGTTATTTTCTCTAAATCAAATATCTCCATCCTTATCCCAAAGGATGAGGTGAATCAAAGGACACAGTTAATAAAACTAGAATCCAAAAATCTAGAATGCAAGCTATGTGTAGTTTCTAACTTTGTGACTGTGTTTATAAACACTTGACCTAATTTGGCTCTGACTTTCCTGACGTTACCAGACGCAGGTGTGGAAGGTGCTGAGTGGCTGGGCCCAGGCTACGTCTAAGGCAGGTGAACGAGTGGCTGTGGGCACTTGGGCACCTGCTTTCCCATTTGTAAAGCGAAGAAAGTGCTCCGCCCTCTACAGGCTTTGGTGCGGGTGAAATGACCTCAGTGTTTGTGAAGTGCCCAGCCCCGCGGGGGCACAGCAGGAGTTGGCGTCATGGGGAAGGCCCTCCAGCCTGCGGCCCTGCCACCCACCCTGCAGAAGCCGCAAATCAAGGCTCACCAGAGTCTGCGGTGGGGCTGGCCTGGGTGTCCCCCGCCCGAGGGGGGCGTGGGCTCCAGTTCCCAGGCAGGCCCATCTCCCAGGCAGGCCACCCAAAGTGGCCATGCTTCAGCTTCCGGAGCCAGCGGCTGTGAGAGAAGCCCTGCGGAAAGGAAATGGCAAGTGGCACTGGTCAGGAGGCTCCCGCCACCATGCGCCACCCCGGCGGGCCGCGGGAGGCCGCTCACCTCGGAGAGATGCCCGAAGGGGCTGGGGAAGGCGAGCTTGCTGTGCTCACGGTGCACGCCCTTCCCCTCGCAGCCGGCACACAGGTCGTAGTCAGGGCAGACGCTGCACTTGTACCGGGTGCCCACCACGGGGCCATTGCAGCCGTCGCAGATCACATTGGGGTGCACCATGTTGCGGGGTGCCTCCTGAGCACACGGGGGGCGGTGGTCCCGCCGGCACTCCTTCCTCTCTGCATGGAGGGCAGAGAGCCGTGAGGTGGGGTCCCACAAAGTCTCCCCTTCGTCACTCCCAGGGGCGGTCACCACTGTCAGCAGGCCCGTCCCGCTCTCCAGACACTGAGTCCATGTGGAACTCAGATGCTCAGGCGTTAAAAGTGACCCAGAACCTCCGGGAGGGGCCCAGTGCCTGCGCATTACCTGGGCTCGTGTGGCCGTGAGGGAGAAGCAGAAGGCTGTGTCTGTACAGCTTTGGTCCTGCCCTTCGCTAAAATAAACCCACAGCCCCCAAAAGCTGCTCCAGGCCATGGTCTGGGCATAATCAACAGTGAACCCAGAGATCTTCTGCCCCGACCCGCTGTTGGACACCAACTCCTTTCTCTCAGGGAAGCACAGATGGCGGCGCCCTCCCCGCAGCCCCGCACCTTTAATGTAAATCCGGAAGAGGTCATCCTTCACGTATGCCAGGGCCATCGTCAGCTCCTCATCGCTGGAAAAGGCAACCAGGTCCCCGTCCTCATCTAGATGGTGGAGAGAGGACATGAGCGCCCGCTCTCCCTGCACACACCGGGCGGCGGCCCCCCGGGGCGCTTCGGGCTCTGCCTGAGCCACTGAGGCAGGGGCAGCAGCCTGCGGCCAGACTGCCCGCTGGCGCTGCGGAAAGGAGTGGCTACGCTGCCCTGCCTCCAGGCCAGTGCCCCCTCACTAGGGGCTGCCTCGGTCCACCTCTGACCAGCCCCAGACCCCTCTTCCACCTGTGACCTGTTCCTGGGAAGCCAGCCCCTCCAAAGGCCTGGGCCTCCTGTGGGTTAGGAGAGGAAATCAGCTGACTACATATGCTTGCTTCCTTCCCCAGTGAAGCTAAAACTATGGATTTGTTTGCCGTCTCCTTTTTAGGTGTTGATTCAAAATGGTGTTAAAGGTCACACTACACCACACCTCTGCAGGCTGGGCCAGCTTTTGGGCCACCAAACTAGGGGCAGTTCCAAAAGGTGAAAACCCAAAACATCCATCAACTGGTGAATAAACAAATGTAGGTCCATACAACTGAGTAGTATTTAGCCACACACACACACACACACACACACACACACAAAATAAAGCTGACACATGCTACAAGACAGGTGTACCTGGGAAACATTATGTTAAATCTTTAGAAAGCAGTTGTAAAGTCTACATATTTATGTATATTTATCTGAAATGTCCAGAATAGGGAAATCCATAGGGGAAAAAAAGCACATCAGTGGTTGCCTAGGGCTAGCAGGACGGGAGGTTTGCTAAAGGAGGAGGTCCTTTATAAGTAGTGGATAGATTCTAAAATTGTGATCATGGTTGGTTAAAATTGTACATGTTAGCCCCACCAGCACAGCTCAGTGGTTGAGCGAGGACCTATGAAACCAGGAGGTCATGGTTCCATTCCTGGTCAGGGCACATGCCTGGGTTGTGGGCTCCTACCCGGTGTGGGCTGGCAGGAGACAGCCAGTCAATGATTCTCTCTCCCTCTCTGGAATCAATAAAAACAGGTACTTTTTTTTTAATTGTACACTTTAAATGAGCGAACTGTATGTATGGCATGTAAGTTGTAGCTCAATAAAGCTCCTACAAAAACAAAACCAACTGGGGACGGGGCCGGCACTGGGGCAGCGAGGTCCCAGCGCCGCCCGCGCTCCCCCCCCACCCCCACCCCGCCCCGCCGCCGCCAGTCCACACGCAGGGCAGTCCCGCCTCCGTCCCACCCACACCGCCGCGGCTCTCGGCTTCCTTTCCCCCCGCGGGCGGGATCACCTCTGCGCTCGGCCCAGCCGCGGGCTTCTTTCCGGCCTCTGCCGACTCCCCCTCCCGGCCCCTCCCGCCGCCCCGGCGGCACTTGTTTACGTGCGTCACCCGCTCCCCGCCGCCCGGCGCCCCGCCGGTCCCTCCGGCAAATGAGCACCCGCCGCGCCGGCAGGCCGGGCTGGCAGCGGCGAGATGTCAGCGTCCCCTGAGGGCCGCCTGACCGCCGGGGCCGCCGACCACCCGGCCGCCTGACCACCCGGGGCCGCCTGACCGCCGGGGCCGCCTGACCACCCGGGGCCGCCGACCACCCGGGGCCGCCTGACCGCCCGGGGCCGCCTGACCACCGGGGCCGCCTGACCACCGGGGCCGCCTGACCACCGGGGGCCACCGACCACCCGGGGCCGCCTGACCGCCCGGGGCCGCCTGACCACCGGGGCCGCCTGACCACCCGGGGCCGCCGACCACCCGGGGCCGCGCCGCCGGAGCACCGAGATCTGCCGCATCATGGCGGGGGGAGGGGAGGCGCGGACGCCCGGGCCTCCAGCGCCGGACCCCACGGAGCCGCGCGGCCCCCGCTCTGGTCACTCGGCGGCCCCCGAGGTGGCAGCGGGCACGCGGCCCCGGAGCCCCGGCCGCCGGCCGCCCTCACCGCGGTAGTGCGCCTGGAAGCCGCCGGGCCGCAGCGCGGGGAACAGGGCGGCCACGCGGCCCAGCAGCCGCTCGCAGGGCCCGCGGGCCGCTGCCTCGGCCTCCGCCTCGGGTCCCGGGCTGAAGCAGAAGCTGAAGCGGCGGATCTCGCGGGTCGCGTCCTCCTTCCCCAGAAGGTACGCCTTCACGGTGAGCGACGCCATGGCGGCCTGTGAGGAGCGGGAGCGGCTGGTGGCGACGGCGGGAGCGGGCGGCTCTTGTACCGGACGCCGGGCCCGGGCCCGCCCCCTGGGCGGAGCCTCCGTCCTGGCCCCGCCCCCGCGCTGGGGCCGCGGCGCGCGGGCCGCCCTGCCGGGGCCCCGTGCGAGGTGCCCCTCCGGCCGCCCCCCGCCCTCTCCTGGGGTCCCCGGGCTCCCTCTCGGCCGCCCCCGCGGCCCCCCGTGCACCGTGACCCCGAGGCCGCCCGCACCCCCACACCCAGCCCTGGCCCGGGCCTCCGCAGGGGAGGGGGGTGGGGCAGAGCCCGCACGGTTCCGCCCCAGACACCCCTCGGGCCTGTCCGTGACTCAGCAGAGCGGAACCGGCGCGGGGACGCCCCGCACGGGAGGGCGGAGGCGCCCGCCGGGCACCACCGCCCAGAACTCACTGGCTCCTGCGGGGCTGCGGCTCCCCTGCCACTCTCACTCCCTCCCCACCGGCAGCCCCCCCTCCCGTGTGTCCACGCCGGCGCCTCCTGGGTTGAGGGGCACACGCCCACCTCAGCCCCAGAAGGGCGCCCAGCGCACTGAGGTGGGGCCGGAGGTGCTGAGGGCACAGAGCCCCCCGCAGCTGGGGCGCTCAGCTCCCCTCGCCCGCGGGGGTTCCGTCAGCAGGCAGTGCCCAGGCCTGCGGGGCCCAGGCCTGCGGGGTCAGCCCAGGGGTAGGACCAACAGCCCTACAACGAAGAACCAGGAGACATGTTTTGTGTGACCAAAGTTGTTAGGGGCAGAAATAGAATATTGAGGACTAGCTAAGAAATGAAATAAGAGTATTCCTCCTGTCAAAACCGGTTTGGCTCAGTGGATAGAGCGTCGGCTTGGGGACTGAAGGGTCCCGGGTTTGATTCTGGTCAAGGGCATGTACCTTGGTTGCGGGCACATCGCCAGTTGGGGGGGGGGTTAGGAGGCAGCTGATCGATGATGTTTCTCATCGATGTATCTAACTCTCTATCCCTCTCCCTTCCTCTCTGTAAAAAAAAAAAAAATCAATAAAATATATATATATAAAAGAATATTCCCCCCGCCCACTGTTCTGATTAAAGAAAGCACATTCTAACCTGGCTGGGAGTTGTATGCGCCCGGGACAGCCTTGCCCGGACTCAGTCTTGGAGTGTGGCCCATGCCCATTCAAGAACAGCTTATACTATTAAAAAACAAAACAACAACAACAAAAAAACAGTTTATATTTAATATTACAAAAAGATGAACAATTAACAGCCCCCTGGCCCAAACAAGGGAGTCCTGCCCCTGCCCCCCACCCCAGCCCACCTTTGCTTACCGCCCCATGCCTGGTTCCTGCTTCCCCATTAAATCTTTGTCCTTTGACCCAATATGGACAGCTGGCTTATCGTGGGGTGCAGAGCAGATTTTTGTGGGTGTCCACTGCTCTCCCATGCTGCGGGCAGGACTGGAATAAATGCTCAGCTGTGATTCAACCCTGTCTCCGCTGAATGGCTCAGCAGTGACAGGCAGCCGGACCCCTAGGTTGTCCGGTTGCAAAGTAACCTGGTTCACAGGCCTGAGGAAGGGGTGTGGAAGGAGGGGTGGGGAGAGTATGTCACTGAGTCCTCCCAGGTAGGGTCTGTGCGGAGAAGCTGGGACCTGTTGAGCCAAAGCCATGTACTTTCAAAGTCCTGCAGGGGTCTGTGGAGCAGGTAACCTCGGGGATGGGAAGCCAGACGCCCGCAGACACCGGCTCCCACAGGTCGGGTGGATGAGATAGTTGTGGCTGGTCCTTTCCAGATTGTTCCAGAGCATGCAAGGATGGGCATCCGAGTACAAACTAGCCCTGCAGCGAGGACAGTGCCCTCTCAGGCCGCCAGCATTCCCCCTGTGAGCCTGGGACAGTGACCCTCCGCGCCGGGCAGACAGGCCCAGGGACCAGGGAGGGACAGTGTGGGCAGAGGCTGAAGGGCCTACAGGTGCCCAGGAGTGACTCAGCAGCCTTGCAACCCCTGCAGGCTGGGCCAAGAGCCCCGCTTCCAGCTCTCAGGGCTCCAGTGTCCTTGGCTGAGGGGTGGAGAGCACACAAGGAGAGCCCAGCGGTCTGGGGGACCCGGGGTTCAGGGAAGGCCCAAGGCCGGCTCTGTCCAAAGATCTGACTGCCGGGAGCGGGCGGCTGCCAGCAGGACCGCCTGGCTTTGGCAGCCTGGGAGGTGGGTTTGCAGGAAGGGACGGAGAACCCAGGGAGAAACCGGATGGCAGGAAACTGGCCCCTGAGCAGCAGACCTGGAGACCCTCGCCCCTGGGATCCCCAGCTGTGGCCTTCCCAGCATGCCCTGCGAGCCCAGGCTCCCCCCCTCCCCCACGGACGGGAGTAAACAAGGCGGCGGCGGGGAAACCCCCTGGCAGGGCCCTCTCGGGAGCCTCCCCGTCAGGTGGCCAGGCCGGCGATGAGTCAGCACCCCATGACCAGCTGTCATGGCAGGGGGATCCCGGCCCTGCTGCCACCTTTCTGGATGGCGTCTTACCCGCCAGCCAGGGGAGGGTGAGGAGCGGCAGTGCCCTGTCCTCACAAACAGCCCCTGCTGACATTGTCCTCACCCTCCCGGCGGGGCCCCTCAGCCTCCGCGGTGCCCATTGCCCCTCCTCACCCTCCAGGGCATGGCGTTCGGGGGGCGTTCGGGGGCATGAAGCTTGGTGCCTGAGGAAGACAGCTATCCCCACCGTCTTTGAAAGGGTGGAGGGACTGGAGCGCCCCTCGCAGGTGGGCCCCCGGGTGCCGGTGGTCTGGCGCCGTTGGAGTCGGCCTGGGGGCGGGGGTGTCGGGAGGAGGCTGCAGCCGGTGCGGGGTGAGAGTGGCCTGGCAGAGACGGAGGAGGCTTTCTGGGGCGGGAGGCCGTCGGGTCTGGCTTATCGCTGTCTGGTGCGTGGTAGCCACCTCCTCAGCTCCTACTTCTTTCCTGTAAAAACAACCCCATCCCTGGATAACGGTTTTCTGAAAATCCCTGTGTTTTCTCTGGGTATGGAGCCAGCCTCGAGGCGGTGCCGGGCCACTCCCTGAAATCAATAAAAATAAGAGGGTTCGAGTCCTGGGGGGTGGAATGAAGCCGGGAACAGACAGGGGGGGAGTGGGAGGTGTGAAACCCCGCTGGCCTCGGGGCGGCAGGACCCTGAGCTGGCCGCGGGCACTAGAGGGGGCGCCTCCGCCCCTGAGGGCGCCGGGGCAGGTGCCGGGCTCCCGCCTAGGGGGCGGCCGAGGCCGGGGCGGGTCCACAGGAGCCGGAGCCGCCCGGTCCCCGGAGCACGGAGCGGGGCGCCCTCCCGCTGGGCCCAGCGCCGCTCCGGGACTGGCGGGGGGGGGGGGGGGGGGGCTGGGCTCAGGCCACGGAGAAGGGGCCCCACTCCGCCGGAGCGGCACCTCCAGGCCCTTCTCCCCGGGGCGCCCTCCGGCTCCCGCGGGGCGGGGGGGGGGGGGGGGGCGGGCCTGGTTCCCGCAGCGATAGGGAGGGGTTTGCGGTGGGAGTGGCCTGGTCCCCCAAGGCTGTTCATCAAGTGGGACCCCGAGCGGGCTCTGAGGAGTCACGACTAGGATCCGGGGTCCCGACCCCTACACGCCGCTCCCCCCAGCAGAGGCCCCGCCTAATGCGGAGATTCTGGGGGCGCAGGAGACCGCCCAAGCCTGGCTGATTGGACAGACGCTCAAGGAGCCGAGGGAGCAGAGAAGTCAGAGTTTGGGGGTCACATAGAGAGGGGGCCGCAGGAGTCGGGCTCTGGGGCTCTGTCCGCCTCCACACCAAGAGCACCGATTTGCTCCCAAATCCCTGCGGACGGCCAGTGCCTGGAGCCTGGGCTCCCCTTCTCCCGTTCGGCCTTCCACCCCGACCCGGCGCCGTCACACCCCTGCGGACCGGCGGGCAGTGGGCACCCCTTTTGCTGCCTGACGCAGGGGGAGCTGGGGCAGCCCGGGTTCCGGGAGGGCCTTGGAGCCCATGCACATGTTGGACCTGGAGCTTTGCCCCTGACCTGTAATCCTGACTCTGGGGCAAGCGGCCACGCTGGGTGGTTGGCTTCCGGCCACCTGACCATGGACAGGGGGTACAGCTCGGCCTGGCACAAGTGTACAGGTGGAGGGAGGACGTGGGAGGCCCTGGCCCTGGTGGCTGAGTGCCCAGGAGGATGGTCTGGCAGGCCCTGAGCTGAGGAGAGGAGAGGGCTGGAGGGCCCACAGGGCCTCCTGGAGGCCAGGCCCAAGCAGGCAGCATGGGCACCTCAGTAGCCTTGTTAAAAGCATGTGAGATGGGAAGCTGGCAGCTGAGAAGGGTACACCATGAGAGGGCTGTGGGGACCCACTCCCCACCCTCAGGCTCTGCGGTTCCCCTAGACCCATGGTCAGCAAACAGTGGCTCGAAGCCACATGTGGCTCTTTGGCCCCTTGAGTGTGGCTCTTCCACAAAATACCACGGCCTGGGTAACTCTATTTTGAAAAAAATGGCGTTAGAAGAAGTTTAAGTTTAAAAAATTTGGCTTTCAAAAGAAATTTCAATCGTCGTACTGTTGGTATTTGGCTCTGTGGACTAATGAGTTTGCCGACCACTGCTTTAGACAAAAGTTCTGGAGGAAGGGGGTTAACGCCTTGCTCGCTCCTGCTCCCAGATTTGCTGTGCATCCCCATGCCCATTGCTGTTCCGGACGGGAAGTTCCTTTGGGATCCATTTCTCCCCTGCCCTGGGTGGTACACGGCCCAGGGTTGGCCAACCAGAGCATCGTAGCCACGTCAGGAGGGCACATATAATGCAAACTGGTGGGTGAAATGCCCACAGGCCCCCGGAACAGGGTCCACCTGTGAGCTGTGCCTACGCTGAGCAGATCAAGGCCTGATCTCAGCATCTGAGCTTCTAGGTCCCCTCAGGCCTGATGCTGGGTCATGAGACACTTAAATCTTGATTTTGGTCTTGGTCAGCTGAATCCAAGAGTATGACCCACCATCTCCCCACCCTGGAGGC